GTACAGGCAATAAATATTAAATAACACAATGGGAGTACAATAATAAAACAATAATTAAAAACATGATAAAAAGCACAATAACTAGAAAAATATATTAAAAAAAACACATACAAATGTAAAAATGTAATGTTCAACTAGTATTAAAATATGATCAAATCTACTGTTTGTTGCTAAAGTTAATTTCAAAGTTTCTGCAATACTATACCACCTTTAGGAGGTACATAGCCCAGTATGTGAAATATTTAGTATTTTTCTGAAGTTTAATGCTATTGAAGCCTGTTCTCATAGAATCTATTCAATTTCCATGGTCTAGGTGTGGTTCCAAAACCGGAGAGCCAAGTGGAGACGACAAGAAAAGATGGATACTAGCACCATGAAGCTTCACGACTCACCCATGCTATCCTTCAATCGTCCTCCGATGCCTCCCAGTGTGGGGCCAATGTCCAACCCGATGCCCCTAGATCCCTGGCTGACCTCACCCATGTCCAGTGCCACACCCATGCATACCATCCCAGGGTTCATGGGTTCACCGCAGGGCCTGCAGCAGGCCTATTCAAGCCACAGCTTCCTCAACACCCCACCTGGTATGGTCCAAGGTATGCAGCCAATGGGCCCTCCCCCCTACCAGTGCCCGCCCAGCTTCAACGATAAATACCCGATGGAGGACGACAGGAGTTCCAGCATCGCAGCACTCAGGATGAAGGCCAAAGAGCACCTTCAGTCAATGGATAAAACCTGGCAGCACATGTGATCATGAGGCCCTTTGGAAGGATTTTTGAGCTGTTTCCCGTGAATGTTTACAAACTTATTTTTCACTGATCATTTCCTGTATCTATGACGACGATACATGGCACCAAAGGAGTCAGACATAATTTCACTGATGCTAATAAGCAATTCTAAAAAAAAGAAATCATGATTGATTCTCTGAGGGCCCTTTTTTGATTTAGCTCGAACGTTTTTGGAAGTGACTCTTATTTAGAGAAAATCCTCAATATGAATGTTTTTACACTTTGGTTTGAACATTTTCCTGCTCTCCTGAGAGAATATCTTTGTGGAGCTAACTGAGCTCTGTGCTTTGGGCATTTTCTGGTATCTAGATCCTAGAACTAGACACTTTTAGTATACAGGTGGATGGTTCAAAGAGGGGTTTCTCTGTGTATGTCTTTCGGTTGGGTTTTCTCCATGATATTCAAACTATTTAAAAAAACGTCTATAGGCTGTCCAGCATATTCTACTATATTTTCAGGTCATTTGAAAGTTGGCAGACAATTTTATTCAAATCAATTCTCCCACTTAATTCTATTAAGCGATATGCGTGTGTTTGATTTAAATCATTAAACTGGCCTTTTGAAGAGCATTGAGCCCTGATGGGGTAGGTTATCGGAAGTCACAGAGCGTAATCTGGCTCAGAAGCTAATTTAGACAGACAAGCATACCTCTTAACACCTAATTACTGCTTTTAAAGCGATTAACCCCGGATTCTCAGCCATAGACAAAATGCCCTCAGTTGCCCCTGAAAAAACCTTTTTCAAGACCTGATTATCTTTGCCCCTCCCCTCAAACTTGACAATGTATATATTTTTTATTTACCGATACGGCACAACATATTGATGTTGTTTTTTGTTATGCCCTGTCTTAATCTTCATCTTATTTGTAAAGGATGCTTTTCATTGCATTGTTGACAAAATATTCCCTAAAGACAGGTGGATTATGAGTGAGAGAGTTAATAGGTGCTGGCAGCCTCTCTTACCATTGGATGTAGCACTGTTTTATGTAACTGTTGGACCGCAACAAGAAGGAAATTACGTTACATTAACCTTTATCAGAGACGTATGGCAATGATAATATTGCTTGTGTGTTTTACACAGTACAGTATGTTGGCATTTGGTGCGTGTGCATTAAAATAAAGCAAAAAGGTGCTTTATAGTAAATAATTTCCTCTCTGGCTTTGGAAAGGCAATAAAAACATGCAATTAAATGGAATCAATGGAAGAACAACTTGCAATGCATTTTACCAATGCTGTTCACTATTTGGAAAAATAAGGTGGTATCAAGTTTTATCTAATGTGAAATGAAAAGATGTGTACACCCCAATGAAGTGTAAGGAAAAGTCCTCCTTTAAATCACTCTAAAACATAATGTGTCTATCATGGCCTTTAGAAATGGCAGCACCCACACTGTCAGTTTTATAGGTTTTGTTTTTTATATTGTTACAATCCCTGTTGACAACAGTGGACTAAAAGGCCAAAGACAACATTTCTTATTACTAGAAAACACATTAATAAATGTGTGAGGATGTTTATTATGTTTAAAAAAAAAGTCATCAGTTAAATATTTTCTAGTACTTTTGAGTTTAAAGAATGTGTTTTTCATTTAACATGTGCAAAATACAGAATAAAGTTACTGTAGCACCACTGTAGAATAACGTTGATGGTGGATCTTGTATTTCTTTCTACGCATGCATTAACGAGCCACCAACATGACTTAGTGCCGTTAATGAGCGCTGGTGTACAAAAGGCCATGTAAGCTGTGACAGAACGAGCTGGCCTGATGGAGGCCTGTTGTGTTCGTCCAAGCCTGTGGAGCTTTGCCAGGCCGTTAGGCAGATGAAGCTCCACTTCATCAGGCCCAACCAGGGGTGTCAGGAGGCCCCGCCCGCTAGGCTGCAGAGGCCACAAGGGCTCAAGTTCTAATTGCCCTCCGGTAGCGTGTGTTCAGCTGCACTAATTTATTTTGGATGGCAGTTTGTAAAAAGGACTATTTTGCATCCCAGCACTTCTCAACAATGTAGCACCCAGTCAACCTAAACGAAAAAGCCAACATCAGGGTGGGAGATTTTTTAAATCATAAAGATGCTTGTGTCAACTCACAAAATGGCTTAATGAAGTGTTCATGGGTCTGCATATTCAAAGGAACAATGGTGTGCAAGGATTTGTTTATTTGATTTGAAAATATACATTTCATGTTAAATATATATAAGGAATACTCTAGGCTTAGTTGAGACTCAGATACATGATAATAAAAACAATTAAACCTAGGTTTTACCAAAGGCCTCTTAGCATCTCTGCATTACAACAATAATGGAGCCACAATAGCGTAGGTAGGGAATTTGCATAATACATTAGTGGTAAGTATGAAGATGAAAAAAGTGAATACACTATATTACGTGACAATCCTTTCTCACCACACCTTTATCAGAAAGACTTAATGTTGCAACACCCAGAATTTGCTAGAGACACTTTCAGAACTAGTGTTTAATTACGCACATTATTATGTTATTTTGTTTGGCCAAGCGTGACCTTTGCTGGGGCCCGGGCTCTAGTTAACAGGCTGACTAGCGGGACAGGGTCCACGGTGGAAATAATAAGGGTAAGGAGCGGAATTAATTGGGTTTGATTAAGAACACTTTTCAAAGGACACCATTTTCCCCCGTTGACATAATTGGGGATCATTTAGAGGGGGGGGATTTTGTTGGCTGGCGCCAGTTACTTGTCTTCGCCCCAGTGTTCCCTCTAGAAAAAAGGACATGTCACTCATTCCTCCTTCCTCGTCTGTCTTGTGCATAACATGCATCGGCACACATGTTAACCTTTTCGTTTTGCCAATCATTGCATTGACTACCATTCAGTCTCTTACTTTGTGTGTTCAGCATGTTCCGAAACATGTTTACATTATTGAGAATCAGACAAAAGATCTGCACACTGTATTAAAAGCTACCAGGATGCCTGGGGTGATTTAACAATGGCTGACAAAGATCTCTGTTAGATCCAAAGTTGCACATTTAAAACATTGGGAGATTTTTATAGTGTGTGAATTTTTTTTTCGGATTCTTGCTTAGTTTGATCTTTTGATCTGGCAACTGTAGTGTTTGAAAGGGGGTACCCAACCCAACCCTTTATTTTCTGTTCTACATGCTTGCCCACATAGCCTGAATGCACGGCTTGATTTGATTCTTAGCAATATCAAGCAAGCAATGCATTGCTTTAGAAAATTACCTCCTATTGTCTAGTGGTAAGGGTTAAAACAGAACTGTAACATGATGAATTAGAATTTGTTGCTGTAAAGTTCTGCAATGACTAGTTATTTTCTCTTCACCTTTCACCAATGGGAGATACCTGCATTCCAGTGCTGATCTGATTGTAGAGTTTATGGTGGTTGGCTTCCTTTCTTACTGTAGGTGTTTGGGCTTTATGGATTCATCTCTTGTCTTAACCTGTATACAAAATAAGCGTCAGTATTACCATCTCTTTTATTTAATAAAAAAAAGGCAGCAAGATCAAATAGGAGACCCTTACTTTTCTTTGCATCACAGAGCGGGATTGACATGATGGAATGGCATCAGAAACATGTCCAACTTGCCAGCTCTGTCCTCAGTAGATGTGTCCATATAGTTTGAAGCCACCAAGCTGCGTCAAATGTTGTGCATACAGGCATGGAGATGAATTGATTGCACTCGCTTAGTGTGGAAATGAATCAGTCTAACAATGCCTTTGACCATTGTTGTTGTTTTTTCAGTTTTAGTTGAGACTTCTAGAGAGATGTACACATTAGGTTTTTTAATGTGCTTTTCAAGGACCATTTTTGGATCAATAGTGAATACTGGAATCATCTACCTGCACTGCAGAGTTGTGGGATATCACTTTTCCATTATCCCTCAGCTCTAAGAACTCCCCTCTCCTAGAGAACTTGAAATGTTTTGGCTCTATGAAACCTGATGTACTTATATGATTCTGTCTTCTTCAAGTTTGTATCTTCTTGGTCGAATGCACTTATTGTAAGTCGCTTTGGATAAAAGCGTCAGCTAAATGCAATGTAATGTAACAATATAAATGTAATTTATGCGTGATCAAAAAAATAAAAAGTATCAGTTTTTGATAGTAATGCAATGACTTACCAACAATGATACTTTTCCAAGTGAAGCAACAGTGTGGTTGTGAACAGTTTGTAATAAACATTTAATTGATCTGCAACGTTTGAAAAGTCATTCATACTTCCTGACCAATACACAGATGTCCTGTTGAAGTGAGTGAGACAACTAGAAAAATAAAACTGCTAAGAATACATTTTGAAATATTTGACCTTAAAAATACATTTATTTTCCCTTTAAGTAATGTCACACATTAACAAATACATGCAGCTATCTTATTATTTGATGTCGCATAGCAGGGCGACTCCACGCATGATCCAGTGGTCTGGTGGCTGGACGGTATGCAACACCACTGCTGTGATGTAATTCAGATCTGTGCGCCTTGGTTTCTTGTATATGGGGCAGATATACAGTTTGGGGTCCATGGGGGCAGTAGAGTTAATGGCAAACATGTGGATGACAGGCAGGGGTGTGAACAGCACTTTGGGTGAGGACTCGATGAGGTGGACGTTCTTCCTGTCCCAGCTGGCACCTTCCAGGTACAGACCATAGACATAGACTCCCTCCTGGTGAAGAGAAGCAGTCAGGGACAGAATTATCATCTCACATTTAAAGTGAGCAGACAATATGATCATACTTATTTTAATGTCTGACCAAGTTTATAATGAATGAAAGTGTAAGCTTAATTGAGAAATATATATTATCATCTCCATGCTTTTCCACTCACTGTAGGCGAGGCAGTGATCTCCTCCAGGGCCTGTTTCAGAACTTTGTTGTGCAGGTTTACCGTGTCCAGAGCCCAGCCTTTGTTTGCCCTCGTTACTTCTTGTCTCATAGCGGTTAGGAACCCTATATACATCCCACAGAAAATACATTATCTGATATGAGTTCAACACCAGCTGAACACAGCACATTCACAGGGTATATGCAGGAATCCTGAAGTCAGATGTAATACCTTTTAAGACAGGGGTGGGGAACCTTTTTCCTCTCAAGGGCCATTTCAATTTTTTCAACATCCTCCGAGAGCCGTACAAGTTATTGACCTCTGCTTAAAAATACTAAAATCACAGCCCATTCATTTCGCCTTTCTTTCATGCTGTGCAAAGAAAGAACAACCTCTTAATCCAGATATCTTACCATGACTCGCGCATGCATGCACATGCACGGTTGTGGCATGACCACCCAAACAGAAAGATATGGACACAAGATGTGTTCAATTTAAGTGGGGGGGGGACCTAACCTCCTCTAGGGGGGTCCGGGGGTATGCTCCCCCGGGAAGATTTTTTTTTTAAATGTTGAAGTTAAAAGCATCAATCTGGTGCATTTTGAGAGCAACATTAGGAGATCTATGGATACATCTCTCAACACCCATATGAAACAGAACTGTAAGCAGATTTTATTTTTCTTTATGGATATTTTACAAATCACTCCCCTTTTAAACTGTATTCTTGTTTATTAATAACAACTTTTTTTTACTGTCATAGTATTTTATACCCGTTTACTTTATTCTCTTATTTTGTTATAACTATAATGATCATATCAAGATGTGCCTTTACCTCACTGGTTGTAGAAAAAGCTTCTTATATTCGTTAGCATAGCTAGCTAACCAGATGCTAATAACAACAAAGTTATTGACTGTATGATCAGTATGACAGATGAACAGATCGCCACTGGGCTTTCAACTAAAGACACAGCCACGCAAAAACTGCGGCATGTGTACAGCTCCTTATCTGAAGTGCCGGAGCGGGGTTCTGGTGCTCTCCGTCAGAACTGCACCCCTGTCAGACGAGACATATACCACGTGATGACACGTTAGGCTCGTGTTGTGTTCAAGGACCCTGACCTTGGCCAGGAAAAACAGGCACTCGCTTGTCTAATTCTTTTGCGGTCTAGATTTCTTAATTTTTTTTTCTTTTTTGCGTGTGTTTATAAATTACCTCGAGGGCCGTATCAAATTGTCTCGCGGGCCGTATACGGCCCGGGGACCGGAGGTTCCCCACCCCTGTTTTAAGACCTCATCGCCACTTTGAGTTTTAACCGGTCACATTGGCGACACACTTTACCTCACATTTACTATATACAGTATTGATTGTCCTTCCTCCTTATCTTCCAACCATTTGGACGCAAACTTGCATTTTCCCATAACGATGTTGTTTAACAACCGGCGTAAACGGACCTTCGCGCACTATCAAGCAGTGAGCGTGCGATGTCCTGTTCAGATGAGGTCAAATCCAACGGGATGCCATAAATAAACTACAAAGAATCACACTACACACCTACGCAATTACACCAATTACATTCAGGCAGACTTTAGAATACAACCTCTTTGGACAATTGATATACTTATTGAAAACAAGCTACAAAATGTAATACCTTGGAAAATGCCGTTTAATACTTTTTAATAGCCTTAATTTTCGCTACATTTATTTATCAACTTTTAATACTTTTTAAGACCCCGCGGACACCCTGATTTACCACAGTCAAACTTAACATGTTTCAATACATCTAATTAAATCTGTTGGAAAATCTAATAATGAATACTTGACTCACCCTGCGGGTTGAAGAAACCTGTCATCCAAAAAGCTTTTGGTCTTCCTTCAAACACCCAGCTGTGAAATTGTTTATTTCTCTCCAGAAGCTCTGTGTACCAGAAGCCCAGTGTGGAGGAATCCCAGGAGACTTTCCTCCACTGGTTCGGCACACGGGCATCAAAGATATTGTCCAGTGCATCACGGAGGTTCTAGGAGTCAAGTAGAGATCACTTTTACAGTAACTTACAGCCTCGTGATAATGAAAGCAAATTCATATTTTAAACAACATGTTTATAGAATATCAATTGTTGAAAAATGGTTAGAACAAAATGGAATGTACTAGGGCTGTCCCAAATACCATTTTTTGGGCTCCGGATAATTGGTAGTAATCAGCAGCGAATATTCGGATATTCGGCCCGCGCGGGGGGGGGGTGCGTAGTAATCAGCAGCGAACTGCTTCAAGACGTGTATTTTGGTTTATTCACGGCATTCATTTTGTTATTCTACAGTATTGTTGTTTTATAGTTATTTGTTAATGTATACAACCCAATTTGTGTTCTTTGAAATTGAAAAGGATATTGCATTGTGTTTGTTACTTTCGTTGCAGTTGTATATGTCTTAAGTGTAATTTGGCTTGGCTTCCTATTTTGTATGGACATGCTTTTATTTTGAAGGAGAGTTAGCGCTATTGACAGGAAGTTGTTGTTGCTATGGAAACAACTTCATATCTACATATAAAGACGGAGAAAGAAAACAATAAAGTTTATGGTTAAGTGTTAGCACCCCCCGAAGAGGCACAAGCTCTCCAACTCCAACGAATGAATATTCGGGTACAGCCCTAGAATGTACTGAAGTTAATATTTAAAAAACAAACTGTATGTGAGAGTGATAAATGAGTGGTCTCACCTCGCTCATTATGATGGTACCATCAATGGCCAGCTTCAGGTCCGTCAGACTAATCCGCACCACACCGATGATCCTTTGCATTCGATCTACCTCTTGGCGTAGGAAGATGTTCATTGGGTTTAGAGCTCCCATCTTCAACAGTCTGGCTTTGACCTGAAACCAGTATAAGAATTGCACAATTTGGATTTGAGTAGGTGCATTAAAGTGGAGACTGCCACCCTAATAATAACAAATATAAGAAATCACCTCATGTGGCACATAATTGGGGGGCAGCTTCTCCAACATGTCTTCTGCCATGCTGTAAACAATGGACTCCCGAGTTGCTCCTGATCCTCCTCCGCTTTCCTTTGGCTGGATATTTGTAATTGTCTCTAGCACTTCAGCCGATGTGTTTGTCTGATACCTAGTGAGCATTAAACACAAAGCAAAAATGAAATGTTATTTATCATTTATACGTTAAAATGACACAATATAGGCATCATATCCTTGTCATTTATAGTTTTAGGACAATGTATTTCTTTACGTGATATCCGCATTAGGATGCAGCCCCAATGCCTGTGGGGAGTCCGCAGTGGGTAAGCTCTGAATACATTCAATGTACTCGTCTACTGTCTTGCACACTGGGACTTTGTAGCCCGTGTAGAAGCAAAATAATGGGTCGAACATCTTTTTACTGAACCACACCTGCAACGAAAAGAACCTGTTCATGTATCGTAACAAGACAAATAATAATCAAATGTATCAAGATGTTAAACATAAAAGGAACAAAAAAATAGGATATTACTCGTGCAAAACACTGCAGTAGGCGTTTGTCATAATCATCTGTAACCCTTCCTCCATACTGCACCTCAGCTAGCATGTATCGCACAGTTACCCAGGACACATCCTGGGAGAAAGCACACAATAATAAGTGAGGGAAGATGATAAAAACATCTCTAAAAGTAACACTGCTGTTCCCGAATTCTCACCTTCCTGGGGCCACAATCATCCAAGTGTCTCTCAACAAATTCAACACTGGCAGTGAAGTCCGCAGAGTTGAACTCATAGGGTATGTTCCAACCCAATGGTCCGAATTTGCGTCGCTCCTTAGAAAGAAAGCAATAAACACATGGTTATGAATAAAAGCAGGTAAATTAGTATCAAATAATATTAGAAAGTAAAAACATTGAGTGATTGTGAAGAAAATGTTTTCCTTAACTTGGAAAGACCTTTCTAAGACTTTATAACTTGTTGTGCTCCCAGCCTGAAATATGCAACGAGCTACATATTGCCTCATTAGATCCTCTACCTCAAGGATGGGCGGACCGGGGGCCGCATGAGGCCCCCACCTCCTCTTTTTTAGAGGAGAAAACGTAATTAATTAAAAAAATATATATATATATATATTTTTTTTACTTGTAGTACTGATACTACGTGATTTCGATCAGCAGCCAAATACCGCGAAATAATCTGTGACACGTTTGTGTGTATTGTGTTTGTTTCCCGGAGAAACACTCACAAGAAACACCGGCTGTTGTTATGCCTGCTGTGACGTCAAGTTACTCCGTTCTCTGCTTGTAATATGCCGTTACAAGCTTCAAAGTTGTATTTATCATCTGAATTTGCCGAAAAAGTTTAATATTCTGAAAGCCAAGACTTTGTTTATTTGAAATCAGATGAAAACAAACTGTAACGGACCCTGCGCCGTGTTATCTATGATTACTATATGCCTTGCATTCATAATTTCAGCGGGAGGGAGGGGGAGCTGCGCTGCGGAAGAGCAGAGTGCGAGTGAGAGGGGCCATCTTCCCTTTACAAGCTTCAAAAATGTATTTATCATGTGATTTTGGCAATAAAAGTGTCATATTCTGAAAGCCAAGACTTTGTTTATTTAAAAAATCAAACAAAACACCCGAACCCCGAAAAACTCGTTTTTTTTACACAAATCCACTTTTATTTAGAAATGAGCCGTTTCGACTTCCGACTGATTTCGATAGAGCGGGTCCCATATGAGCACAGCCCTCTGTGGATGTCAGCATGAGCAAGAGAAAGGTATCCGAGTAAGATCGTGTTTTCCAAGAAAAGTGGGAGAAAGAATATCTTTTCACTGAATTCAGGGGTAAACCACAATGTTGAGTATGTTTGCAGACCGTTGCTGTAATGAAAGTAAGCAACTTGAGCCGCCACTACTACTAATTTGTGTGTGTGTGTTCCAAGTAAATCTGCGGCCCCCTGGTGGCCAGTACATACATGATGTGGCCCCCACCACCATCCAAGTTGCCCATCCCTGCTCTAGTCTCAAATGGACAGTACCTGCACAGCAGTGTGTAGAAATGCCACACTGTACAGCATAGGCTTCCACATGGGCAGGTTGCTGACTTCCAACTGGTTCTGGGAAATCCCTGCAAATGTACGTTTCAAACCAGCACGAATTCCTTGGGGTGGATCGTTGGTAAACTTGATGGAGGACTGGAGGGGGGAGAAACAATTGCTTTAATCTTGTGCATCTACTGTATGTAAGTACACCACAGTATTTGTAGGGGTAAGGTCAGGAAAAAAAGTAATACATGAAGTTACACTTTCACAACACCTTCAATAATAACTCTGTAAAGTCTCACCTGTAGTAGTGTGATGGAGAAAAACTCATTTGGCTCCGTGGTGATCCAAACCCTGAAGGAATCATGCATGGTCTCAGCAGTTGTAATGGTTTCCAGCAACTCCTCCATAAACTCCAGGCCCAGATGGCAATTTTGCAGAAGGGCCCAGCCCCCCTACACATATCAAGATACAGAAGCCACATATAGGGTGAAATGGTCAGCCATCACTTTATTCAAACAACGTACTACTATCATTAACCAATACATACATGCGTCATTGACGTCTTAACAAGCTTCCTTGCATGCACTTCCTGCCCTTGCCCCATGGATATAGCTCTGCATTCTAAAGGACAAAGCACATCGTGTGAGATTGCAACATGCAGCTCACGTAAGATTCTTCAGTAAGATGAGAATTTGTAAAGGTTGAACGTTTAACACTAGAACCGCCAACGGGTCAATTTTTCCCGCAGCTGTTTTTTGATTGTATGTAACTTTTTTTCAATCAAATATTCAAGTCTCCCAGTCCGTGACTTTTCCTGAAAGTGTGTTATGTAGCACCCTCTGTTGTTAAAAATTGTCAATATGAAGTCAGATTGAAAAAATCGCCAAAACAAAATGCCATTTATACCTATAGAGAGATAGAGAGAGAGAGAGAGAGAGAGAGAGAGAGAGAGAGAGAGAGAGAGAGAGAGAGAGAGAGAGAGAGAGAGAGAGAGAGAGAGAGAGAGAGAGAGAGATAGATAGATAGATAGATAGATAGATATGTACCTAAACAAAACACGAGTCTAACACCAAGCGTTTAAATCAGCACTGGTAGCGATATTTTATACTTTACGCTATCTGCACAAACTATATCATATGAAAAGCTGAGAGTCCACAGATTCTATTGGTATAAGTTTCATCCCTCTGCGATCAAAACTCACTGTTCTGTATGATAAATAAAATAACATTGTACCTTGAAAATCAATAGCGGGTAAATGTGACCCGTTCGCGGTTTCAGGTATACAGCGACCTCTGGCAGTTCTAGTGTTAATAGGGCAGAAATGTTTACCAAGTAGAAGTTTCTTAGCAAGTGCTTCAATTTGTTCAGTGGGATCTGAACCCATAGAAAGGAAGCAAATCAGAGGGGTGCGAGGGTCACTCTCCTCCCAAGTGTTGTGAAGGTTCAAGATGACCGGCTCAGCAAACCTCATGCCCAAGGAATCTCCGACATACTTTCTGGCCTGAGACAGGGTGCGGTCAGGGCAGCAAGACCTGTAATGTATGTATTTATTTAAACAAGGACCATGCATACAAATACATTAATCTCAGAGAAGAGATGATTTATGCCAGATTTAGCTAATTTCCATCTGCAGTCCTTTAAAGCAGTGGTTCTCAACCTTTTTTGTCTCGTGTAACCCTTGAGCTGGTCGCCATTCTATAAGTACCCCCGCCCCACTCATCTGTGATAATTCGCCTACATTTGTTCGTGTATTAAACCCTTTGTTATCGTGTTCAACCCAACTGCTCCTGAATGAAAATCAGTTGTATAACTCACATTCAATATAAATGCATTTAAACTCGAAATGTACACTTGCTGTCGGGTAAAAAAATGATGTTAAGACTCACTACTTATTTAGGAAGCCAATAGAGTGCCACAGTGACGCGTCCTAAAACCCGGAAGTAAGCTGCGCATGGAATCATAAATCTAATCGATAGATTTATGATCGATAGATTTATGATTCGAAAATTATAAAAGTAGGGTAGACATGTGGAGATTATCCGACTGAACAAAACGTGATCCGTCTCTTAAATGTGTGTCAACCACAGACCTTATTTCGAGCTATTTTCCCAAATCCTATGGAGAAATTGCATTGCTTTTCTGTCGAGGGAACCCATGGATGTATAATAAGAACTGGATACAGCGTGGGAGGCGGGGCCTCGTTCATTCCTATGAGAGTTGCTCATTGGCGCATGAAGACAAAATGGCCCAACTTTTGAGAGAGCGAAACGTCACGAAAGTATTCATATAATCATATAATCCGTTCTTATTGTGCATCCATGGGTAAAGGTAAAACTCATGTAGTACTGAACACGTCACATGAACGTGCCGGGTGGCGCGGTCCCGTGGGTTAGATGCACGTTCATAATGCAGACAAAAATAACTCTCAGAATAACGTTATTAGCACATTTTACAACTTGAGGACCGAATGTTTTTAATAAGGGCCATACAAATGTTCATACTGGGTAGTTTATTTAGTTTAAAAAAAATTATCCAACGATTTACAGACGTCTCTTTCCCAATGTTAGTCAATGGGAAAAAGTGTTTCCGGGCCCAGCAACCAAACGGAAGTGTAGTACCGCCGTTTGGACACAACGAATATTTTCCTCACGGAGCGTCCACACAGCAGCGTTAAAAAAATCTTGGAACGCTTCTGCCCATTCACTTTGAATGGGGTGACGTCACTTTGCCTCACTTTTCGCCGAACTGCATTGTGGGCAGCAGAGCGGAGATTTTCAGGATTTTCAGGATTCAAAGTTGAGCAATGTTCAACTTTTGAAGCTGAGGTGGAAGCGTCAGCCAATCAAATCCCGTGTATGCAAATCTGACAGTTCAAGCGCTAGCCAATCAAACCGCGTGTATGCTGGGAGAGACATACCGCAGTTCATTTCCTCATATTCCAAAAAATGGAGGAGAAATTAGCGGTAGGGAATCACCCGGTGCTTTATGACCAGTCCCTATTTACCTACCGGGATACAAACCGGAGGAGCCATGGCATGGAGGGAGGTGGCAGAGGTTTTCGCCTGTTTGGGGAGTTTATATCCAGTTTACTTTTTTGCTTCGTATGTCGGGGGCGGGAGATTCATGTGATTGGTTGTTGGTGCCTTGCTCGCAAAAAATCACCAAGCTTCAGATACGCCCACCTCCAAGATTTTTTTAACGCTGCTGTGTGGACGGTCCGTCAGAGTCCGGGACACTTCCTGGGGGCTTGAGGGAACCCATGCGCAGCTTACTTCCGGGTCTTAGGACGCGTCACTGTGGCACTCTATAATGTCTTTTTTTAGGAGAAGACCCCTCCCCTCTGAACAGTCACTTTTATCCGTCATATTTGAAAAGAAACATTGTTATTTTTTGTATTCATGTAAGACAAAAGTTATTTATTTATTTGGCGAAGACTTGCGCTATTTTTAGAACGCACCCTGCGGGCGACAAGGCACATGCATACCCCCTGCGATCCCCTCAAGTTCCCCTAGGGGTCCCCGTACCCCCTGTTGGGAACCATTGCTTTAAAAGGATTGTAACGGGAATAGCTTGTGACATTAGTATTTTAAACATCATATTCTGAAATGTAACATATAAGCAAAATGCATGGCAGGAGGATCCAACCTTATTAGCAGAAGTTTAATGAAGACATCGAGAGAATTGTATCCATCTGGGATGACACCTTCCTCTGGGGCGTCTAGATTGAGCCATGCTTTCCAGAGTTTCCCATTTTGAGACACCTGCAAAATATGTCAACTTGTGAGGACAATTTTATTGAAGATTCAGATGTATGATCAATGGAACTTAAGCTCACCTGGGTTATGATGTTGGCAAACTGTGGCAATTTGCCGAGTTCAACCATATTTAGCCATACCATATCCAGGATCCAACTGAACGGCTTTGTGGGGCAGGTCTTCAGGTCAAGAGCAGCACCACCTTTTGGTATATTTAAAAGGTGTTAACTTGTTTAAAGATGATTTATTACATGGCTTAGTTGAATACTCAATTCTGATTGGTCAATTCAGAACATGTGACATGTTGTTAATCCAGTACAGACAGACCGCTGTCAAGCACTTATTGACCGTTGTTAAGGACGCTCACATCTGCACAAAGAAGTTTGGTCGATTTAAGTGTATACAGTTTGCTTTTTGAACTGACAAGACAAGAGCGACAAGAAAACAGCGGAGAGGTAACGGGGCAGAAACCCTCCTTTTTACGCAACGGTCCAGACATAGACATCAAACGGCAAAACATATTCAGTTGCCAGTTACTTTGGCATTAGGGCAGGGATATCTAGATACTTTCCAAGGTTTGACATAATGAATTGTGCTACTTTTAAAGCAAGCAACGATGTTTTCAAATCTGTAATCAAAAAGCTCCGCCTTCCTGCCGTTGCTACGTATTTCAAACGGTAACAACGGACTATTTTTCTTAGCGGATGCATGTCAATTTAAATCAATACAACATTTTCTAAATCCATAAAAGCATTTCAATTAATATTGGGAGTCATGTCGTTACTTTGTTGAGAATGTGGCCTTGTAATAAGCGGGATAATGTGCAGCGACTTGGTCATTATGGGGAAAAGAACACCCTTCATGCAGATCAAGATCCCTCCGCTACACGTCGGGCTCCTGATCTGCCTGTCGGGTGTTCTTTTCCCCATAATGACCGCCTCGCTGCACATTATCCCTTACATAACTAACAGGTACATAGGATTATCTCTTCAGTAATGGTTACCTTACCTTTAATAAGTATCTGAAACTTGTCATGCTCTATTTTATTCTTCTGCAGGTCAATCTTGAGAGCCAGCAGGAGTGTGAAGATGAACTTGTGGTTTTCATATAGGCCTCTCACTGTGTATCTGAACACCTCGTAGGTCAGAGACTCAATAATGTTTGCAATTCGCTTCTGAGTTTTAGCGGACTTCTCAGACCTGGAAAAGCATGAATGATAGGGATAAAAGTAAACGTTAAATATAAAAAGATGCATAAAAGATGTAAAATAATAATAAAATAAGCACCAAGATTGTTCTTAATGCATCTTTGATCAAAACAAACCTTTCTAGTGACAGGTCAAAGACTTTGAGGAACTGCCCCAGAGAGGTCTGGTACATGACATTGACCATGCTCATCTCTGTGATGAGGAAGTACACGGTGCTACCTCGGGAGGCGACAGGACGATATTCTGCTTGAGCTATATTGATCTTGACCTCTGCATCTGCTGCGACACTGAGCTTTGCACTGACTTCAGCTGCAGTTCGCTTAGTTGTACTCAAGATGCCGATCATAGAGTCATCATCAACCAAGGAACCTTTGATTACACAAACACATTTTTATTAAAAAGGGTATTGCCTTAAAAGGAAATGTACACCAGTAACTGTTTTACCTTTGGTGCTGCTGAGTTTGTACAGCAAGTTGTCTTCCAATTCCTGCATCTTTCTCTTATTGGCAGTAACATCCTCAATCAGCTTCAATCTTTCCGCCTCTAGCTCCTGTCAAAATAAATATGATATCTTGGTACCACTTTACAATAAGACTACCCTTATAAAGGATTCATAAAGGGTTTATAATTAGGTTATTAATTAGGTTGTAAACATTTTATTAATCATTAAGAACCATTTATAAACCAGTTCTAACATAGTTTTCATACGTCAACACAGACTCACTATTTGGCAAGATGACTAAGCCTTATATTGGCTACTTAAAAAATGTTGAACAGTATGTTTTTAACAGTTGATTACCCTGAACTTTAAGTATAATTTAACTGAAAAACCAATACTAAAATAAATAATTAATTAAAATAAATTAAAATAAAATAAATAAAATAAATAAAATAAATAAAATAAATAAAATAAATAAAATAAATAAAATAAATAAAATAATCGTTTTATTTAGATTATGTTGTTTTCATAATCGTTGCAAGCCAAAATCGTAATTGCGATTGAAATACGATTAATTGAGCAGCCCTACTTAGCAGTACAGATAAATGTGGGCTCACTATTTGGCAAGCAACCGGTCACAGTTGCCCTGTTTATCTCATGTCTTATAAAAGCTTATTAATTACTTATAAAGTGTTCACAACCTAATTAATAAATGAATTACAAACTATTCGTAAACCCTTTATAAGGGTAGTCTTATTGTGCTACCAATATCTTAGTAGGGCAACTCAAATTCTAGAGTAGTCCGAGACACACATAATATGACATGCTTAATACTGTAACAATCGCTAATATAATTGATCAATGTTAGAAAAACCTGCTTTCTTCAACATAGAGAGGAAGACACTAACGTATTTCTCTCTGAGGATGACGCGGCCCAGTAGCTGGTTCTCCAGGCCCTTCATGTTCACAGTGAAATCAATGATGGATGTCTTGGCGCTGACTTCTGGGCTGTATGATGGATTGGGCAGTTTGGTGGTTATATAGAGCTGGAAGCCATCCATCACATTTACCTCTTTGTCTCCCACTTTAACCTACACGAGACAAATTCAAACATTTAAGAGGACACATTTGAGTAGCATTGGTGATTTCAAGTGGGAGTGGCAGCAACATTACCTTGAAACTGGTACCAGATTTAATAAAGTTTTTCTCAAGGACGTTGTCAAGTGCAGGGTCTAGCTCCTCAGATACATCTTCGATAAGCAGTGGGCGTCCCATAGAGAGGCAGTCTTCCAAATGGGAGCGAAAGAATTTGTGGTTGAGTGACGTCACCTGAAAAAGAGATGATTAGTTTCACACAATGTATCATTAACCCTCAGATGCACGAGTGACTGGACCATAAGTGGGTCAAAAAGGACCCGTATTAGAATAATATGTGTTTTTATGCCATTTTGGTTAAGAAAAATCACTTTTAGACATTTCTTTTACATTTTGAAAAGAAATGTTTTGAACATATTGATGCAAAGATCTCCGCTATTCTGAGAGAATAGCGGAGATCTTTGCATCAATATGTTCAAAACTCATCTCTTCTCTTGTCTACTCATCATAGCCCACCCCCCCTCAATCCATGCCGGTTGATCAAGTTACATAGTCCTATACCCCCCACCCTAACCTTCCCTTATATTGTAAAGCGATTTTGAGTCCTTGAAAAGCCCTATACAAATATAATGTATTATTATTATTATACTGACAGGTATCAGATCTGGCTGTGTACAATAATCTTCCTGAGAGGTGTCACTTGTGATGTAGTCTGTGTGGTCCACAGTGAATATATTCCTGACAGCCACAGGTGATAAGAATCAAAGGTTCCTATAGGATCCCATAGGAAAGGCATGCGGGTCATTTTTGACCCACTTATGGAACACTTTTGTAGTAATACAAAAACTACAATTTCTTAAAATGTATACAATTTAAATTAAGCATTTGAATGGCATGATATCCAAAACATGTTTTTTGAGGAATAGCTGGAATATGAAATTATAAAAAAATGTAATTCCAAAGATACTTCAAGAAAACCACCTCACCGGGTCAAAAAAGACCCACTTGTGCATCTAAGGGTAAAAAGTAAACAACTCTTTTGTGATGTACTGAATTTGTACTATGTACTTGGAGCATAGTAGCCTTTTCTTTTTCCTTAATCCAGGCCTTTCCCTGAGTCTGGGGGTCAATGAGGAGGGGGTATCTTGTGGCTTTTGTGACGATGATGGCATTCTGCACAGACAAATCATCTCCAGGGAGTCCTTGAAGGTTCCACTCGCTTATCTTAAACGAAAACAAAAGTGTGTGTTTTGTCACAACCTGAATTAGATTTAGCTGCACAACAAGTTAATCATGTTTTAAATTAAATTAAGGTGTTTCTTACAGTGGGAGGATCGGCTAGGGCAGAAATAATGTTGAGGTTTTCTGTAAAAGGGATGTTATGCTTCCTGAGCTCCTTCTCCCAGGTGTGCTTCAACAACATGTCCCGGAAGCTCTGGTTGAATGGCCCGCAGTAAGACAAGAAGCCAGTAAGCTGAAGCACATCCCCTACAAGTCTGCCAGGAATAACAGAATCAAATGCTTTATGATGGGTAAATAATACATATCACATTAAAAAAGGCTATTACTTTTTTCAATTGAACATTCCTCTAATTGAACCCTACCTGTTAATCTGTGATTTAAATTCTTTGCTTTGCTCTATCCAGCGAATCTTTTCTCCACTAAGTCCATCAATAAGTGTAGATGCAGCCTGCATTTTATTCTTGCACATTTCAGCATCATCCAATAAATCCTGAAAAAAACAATGTTTCATGTGATAAACAATTTGTATTTATATCTTAAAGTAAAATAGATATTATACAGGTTTTATAAAGTAATAAGCACACCTGTTTCTCTTTCAAAGCAGCATCACATTTGGCCTTGACTACGTCAAACTCTGCTTGTTTCGCAGCCAGCAGAGCCTCAGCCGCACCCAGCTCATTATTAGCCTTTGTTAGCCTGATTTCCTGCACAGCCAGGTTAGCCTACACACAGACAAGCGACATCACAGTTCATGAAACCAAAATAAAATCAGTATTTCATCATTAAAATAACATTAATAGAGAGATACCGCAGGTCTTTCCTTCCTGCAGCGGTCAGACTATACAACCAGCACAGCCCCTGTTGACCCCCCCCCCCCCCCCACACACACACACACCACAACACAGACTATATCACCCCTTGCTGCTAAATACCAACAAACTATGTGCAATATGTGCAATATATATATGCCGTTAATAACTGTGTAATATATACCTGGCTGCTAAATCCTTAGAACTGTTACAAGGTGTGTATTTTGTAAATTGTGTAATTTGCTGCTGTTAAATACCAACCACCTATGTGCAATATGTGCAATATATATGTATTTTCTTTGAATTTTGTAACTTTTTATTTTGTATTATATATTTTGTATTATATCACAACATGTCACATATATTTAACATATGTAACATTAAGCTGTCTGTGGCTCTTTTTCCTGCTGTAACTATGCACATTTCTACTCCGTGGGACTAATGAAGGGATTCTGATTAATGTCTACAATGCAGTCCCTTTTATTTTGTATGTATATCTAAAAAATGGCTCAAAGTAGAACATTTAGAACCCAATGTTAAAGAACATGAGTCAACTTAGCCAGATCTACGTTGCAGAAAATGGTTGGATGCCATGAAGATAAACTTTACCTTGAGTGGCAGCACTTCTTTGTTTATGCCAAAGAATGTTGACATAGCCCGCGTCCATGCTAGCAGACCAGCGACACAACCACACACTTTCTTGGCGTGCTCCATTGTGTAATCATCCATGTCAAAGTACATCTGCAACAGTTCTACCATTTCCTCATTAATTGAATCTTTTTTGAACTGCTGGAGTGAGGTCATAAAACCAGTGGCACTAATGAGCTAAAGACAAGACAAGGAAGGAACGTTGGACAAAAGGGAGCAATAAGAAACTTGATAATATGGATTATTTTTTGCAATATCATTATTGTTACCATTACAGAAAACACATGCTGGAATGCACATGCAGACAACATTTCTAGTAATATCGGAATGTCGGAATTACAGAAACTGCCGGAATGTCGGAATTACAGAAACTGCCGGAATTACAGAAACTGCTTACAATGTGAAGGTTACAAGTCATGAGAATCCCCGCAAAATAAAAATGTAACATCAAATAAAATATGTTTTACCTTCAATGCATCTGACCATGATGGCTTGATACAATTTTTTTCTGGATCGATAGAGACAGTTTCCAACTTCCTTTGGAATAGCAGCAGGCAGCAGTCCATAATCCTCATGATCAGATGCGGAGGCTTGGCTAGTTTTCTCACGGTGGCAATGTCAGCAGGTTTGATGGTCTGTAATATTTTAATGATATCATGAAGAGCACTATGTATGGAATAAATACATTACATTACATTACATGTCATTTGTTAGACGCTTTTATCCAAAGTGACTTACAAACATTCAGTACTGTGGACAATCCCCACAGGAGCAATTTGGGGTGAAGTGTCTTGCCCAGGGACACAACGACATGCTGACCGCAGTGGGACTCGAACTTGCTATCCCCTGATTTGAAGTCCAGCACACACTATCCACTGAGCCACAGCCTCCTAAATACTTTAAATAGTTTTAAAAAACTCACGAAAAAAACTCACATTTAGTGCAGCTTCAGCCTCCTCTAAAGCTGGCTTGGCAGCCGCTAGCTTTCCCTCCGCATAAGCTTTCTCTTTCTCGATCCCGTCCACAATCTTCTGGGCTCTGTCCTTCACAATCTGGACTTCATTCTTGACAATAGTAGCAGCTTCAGCAATGACAGTTACCTCTGCCACAACCTATGTGTAGGCAACAAGACATGTATAAATAAATAAAGTATATCAAATGAATACCAGAAAGCTACTGAATGCACACAAGAAGAATATGGTGTTTCTAGAGAAGACACATAAAACCATCAATCCATCCATGCTGACTTCACCCAGACCTTTCACATATCACATCAACAATTCAAAACTAAATTCCAAAAATTTATATTTGCAGATTACTCCAGCTAACTATTTTTTTTTATAGAAATAATAACTTCTCAGTTTCTTTCTTTCTTTAATATTGTTTACATTACTTTTTATTAATTTTTTCCTTCTTATTTCTTTTCATCATTATGCGGTTGAATTATTATTTCAGCCCTGGAAATTGCCTTGTAATATTTGTATTGGTGTATACAGTATGAGTGCATTTGTGTACTTATACACCTGAACATATGGTGCTTATGTATATTTTGTGTATGTGTGAACATATGAATGTAAAAAAAGTCACTTGAAAATAAGTGTCCACAATGTTTATATGCATATATTATTATGTATTTGCCAAGTACATATATATATTTTTATATATAGTATTTTCCTTTTCAAAAAAGATAGTCAACTGCTATTGACATGTGCAGAAAATGACCCTATATCTATTTTTCATATATATATATGCATTTTTTTTTTCTTGCCCTAACTTTTATTTATTTTTTCCCCTGTTTTCTTTATTTCTTTGTACTCTTTAATTTCTATACGTTTTTGACGCAATAATGCCAATATTATATTAGGATGATTCACGGGAAGGCTACTTCCCATAAGCTATGCTTCAGCCCTCCCGCTTCTACTCATTTTGTTAACTTTGTGTGTATGAATTATACTTTTTTCTTTTTTGGATGAATTAGTAGAATAAATTAAGTGCCGGATCGCGGGTGGCTGCTGAAGGTGATTTAATAACTTACCTTGTCCGCTTTGACAGATGCAATAACCAGCTCCTTTTCCTTGACTACAAGAACTTTGGAGAGTTGAGCCACAGACTTACTCGCCTCCATCAGTTTGTCCAACCCTGGAATAAGTAACATCTTTTAATACGCCTTGCTCATTTGTCTATACACATGTCATAACCCTGTTCCCAAAACATTCTTACCAACAGACATGCGCTCTGCAAGTGTGTTGATGTAGCTGTGCTTTTCAGTGTACAGTGTTTTATAACCATTTACAAAAGAGAGGTAGGATTTAGGAGTGACATGAGTTCTTCTCCGAAACCTGAAAGATAAAATGAACCACAAAAAACGTCATGTAAAATATGTCTTTAGATTAAAAAGATTGATGTTTATATGAATAACTACAATGTAACAAACTGAACCTAGATTTGCGTGTTATACCTTTCGAAGTAGCTTTCACAGCTTTCAGACACTTTGTCATGATATGTACCCATGGTGGTCACGACAGAACTCTTCACTTCAGGAGAGCAAACCATTGGAAACTCAGACAAGAAGTAGTTGGATACAGCCACCAGAGCCTCGTTGGGCCAAGGAGTGAACCAGTCCATGGTACAGCCAGAAATTAACCCTGGAAACTTGAGGGATCTGTTGCGAAACTTCTGCCCCACCTGTCAAGAGAGTAGATTATATATATAATTTAAATGAGAACATTGACCTATGTATGTCTAGCTTGCTGCCAGTTAAATGCAAAAGTTTACAATTGACATGCAAGAAACAAAACTAATAGAGAAATATAAAGGAAATAAAGAATATGAGCAAACATAAAATCATAAGACCATTATATTTGGTAATATAAAATGCTTCACATACCGGAGAGAAGCAAAGCACGACATGCAGATTCTTCTTGGATCGGGATATGAAGTAGTCATACAGATTGTCAAAAGTCGGTGGAATACGAGGCAACTCCCTTTTCATTACAGGAATCAGGTTCTGGGTGATCTCTGTTATCTCATCTTTAGCAAACAGGTTGGAGACCTGCACACAGATATTTCACATTGATATCAGGACCTGTGAAAGCTTACCCAACAGCTTTCTCTACCTTCTTTGTTTCTGTGATATAGTAGGTGTGGGGGAAACTTCTGAAGCAATTGAAGTCAGGACTCAGAGAGAGAGACACGATGGAGAGCTGGAGCTTTAATGGCAAACACTGATGGTTTATTCGGAGCTTTCACAAGACACAAGACATGTCACAGGGCCACGGTTTGACCACACGGTTGAGATGCCACAATCAATTCTGAAGAACCCTCCTGTAGTTCCAGGTTTGAACTAGTTCAGAGTGTAATAATCAACATTCTTCAATAGATAGACTAAACAGCTGAGGACACTGAATCACAGTTGTTGTCGCTTATGGCTCGGGGTCATCTCCACCCCGAGAAGGATGTGTTCCAGGTGTCCCACAACAATAAATGAAGCTCAGCGCAAGTTCAACCAGGAAGACCGTCTTTACTGATTAATTTACTATTTCTATGTTACTACTCTCTCTCCTCTCAATAAGTGATCGGGGACGTCACTACCCAGCTTAACCAATCACTTCGCTCTATTCTCACAAGCCTATCATAGCGCTCCGCTAACCCTTTTAAATCTGCTCTCCCTCCTCCGACAGCTGTCATTTCAGGTGACTCAACGCAACCCTCCTCCACCCCTTTTCACCTCCTGTCCCTCTGAATCCAGGGTCAAGCTAAGCTCTTCAGACCGACCCCAACTATCCATTCACCACCACCAGTGTCTAGACCCCGGGGGGTTTCATCGGATCGGTTCTCCCCTCCCGAATGATACTCCTGCACAACGGGGCCTAATCGCCAAAACTTAATTACATTCATTTGTGTATTCCTGGCAATAAATATGTATTCTTACTAGGGCTGTCAAGTTGTTAACGCGTTAATAACGCGTTAACAAAAATTAACGCCACTAATTATTTTAACGCGATTAACGCATGTGTATTTTTTGTCCTCGGCCGCCGTAGTTTCAGAGCGCATCGAGTGTAAAATACCATCGACAAGCTGATGCTGACAGCCCCGCTCCTGCCACCCGCTTGTGGCAGACCACACTACCACGCTCACTGGCAGGCCCGGACTGGCCATCGGGAGGACCGGGACGGAGTGTGTATGTGTGGCGCGAGCGAGGCACACCTTACGTGTTGTTGTTGTTAGCATCTGGTGCTAGCTAGCTGCGCTGATGGATATAAGGAGCTGTTTCAATGACATTTCGCCGACAACTGCGCCGAGCACTTGACTTTATGCAGGTAGCCAGACAGTGGGACATTGTACGAAAAGTCAGCACAGTCAGCACGGATAGTGCGCGCAACATGATTGCAGCGTCCAGGCAGCTCCCATTCGAGCATATATGCCTTGAGCTGCACATAGCTCCATCGATCCATCACAGTGTACACACACACACACACACACACACACACACACACACACACACACACACACACACACACACACACACACACACACACACACACACACACACACACACACACACACACACACACACACACACACACACACACACACACACACACACACACACACACACACACACACACACACACACACACACACACACACACACACACACACACACCACACACACACACACACACACACACACACACACACACACACACACACACACACACACACACACACACACACACACAATTATTGTATGAGAGAGGTTCCAGGTTGAATTGAGGTGAATATTTGTAATGTTCAGAGGTTGTTGTGTTTAATATTCATGAGAATATTTGTCATTGTTCAAATGATAATAAACAAACATATAAAGCATATTTGTCCACTCATATGTTGATAAGAGTATTAAAAACTTGAAAGATATCCCTCTAAGGTACATTTAGAACAGATAAAAAATGTGCGATTAATTTGCGATTAATCGCGATTAACTATGGACAATCATGCGATTAATCGCGATTAAATATTTTAATCGACTGACAGCCCTAATTCTTACATCAAAACCATCTCTCCTGATTGAACTATCTCTGACCGAGAGTTGCCCGGTCACAAACTGGTAACAACAACAAAATGCTAGGGCAGCCCCTCCTTAAGGGAGATAGCATGCTGCCCAAGGCTGGGGCATCTGCGTCAGAGGGCAAAAGGTAAACATCTATGGAAATTATTCCCTGACAGTAATGATTACAAGTTTTAATAATAATAAATAGAGTTCTTGAATGTCCAAATTGAAAGTCAGCTTGTTTGGGGCTTTAAACACATTGAAGTACTCACCTCTCCAGAAGAAAGGACATTGTTGAGGTACTCAAGGAAGGCTTCATCTTTTATCTCATTGTCCGTGAAGATGAAGGTGATGCCTTTTCCCTCAGCCCCAGCGGTTTTATACAACAGTTTGAGGTCATCCATGAAATTACTCATGTTGTATGTTCTGATGAAGAAACAAAGTAAGTAGTGTCTAACAAACAAACTATCATTGATCCCAAGTAGAATTAAACAGGCCAACGTGAATGAACTATCATAAGGATTTATATTGGATATAAGATTTTACTTAGTCAATGTGATCTGGAAGATGCTGTATCCTGCTATGTATGAGGCCAGGCGAGTCAGGCTCTGTTTCCCTGATCCTCCCACTCCCACAAGCAAGGCATTACCATTGTCAGTTCGAATGATTCGTGAGATCTATAGGAAGGCAAATCTCAAAATAGTTAGAATGATTCTCTCGCCCGTTGTACAGGATAAGTAATGGTTTGATTGGCTTGTACCCTGACCTTGACAAGGTGAGTCATGGCATCTGTGAAGAAAACCAAATCCAGGCTGGAGCCCCTGACGAACTCGTTGTGCAGGGTCTGGTACAGCATCAGCTTTTCTGATAAAAACTCAAAACTTGGCACCTGAATGAATTTTAGTTTGCACATATTTTGGTGACAGGCTTCTACATTGATTGCACAGATATCATACAATGTTGTAAATAATACATTTTACCAGTTCATAAATTTTGGGGGCATCGAAACAGGCATCTTCCTCTTCTTCTCCAGTGGGCTCAGGAGCCTCTTGCAGGAAATCCACAAAGTATGGATCAGAGTGAAGTCCTGGGACCAGACTGGGGTCAACATGCTCTTCAATCACACGCGACACACCGTTCATAAACCACTGTCGGTCCTCTGAGCAAATAAACCTATAACAAAATAATGTTTCAGTTTGCCATTCTGCCATTTTGGAGTACGCAAAAGGGGCTTTACTGTCTGTTAGCACAGTACCTGTCAGCAATCACCCTCGTACATTCACACTTGAAAAGAGCCAAGAGAGTGGGGATATCATTGCAATCCTCAGCCTTTACGTTTAACATCCCTTGCCAGATCCTGGACAAGTCTCTCAAATTGAAGACGTAGTGGAACTTGGATGGTGTAGGAAGCATTTTTGTCTTCAATAAGAAAACAACAAATCAGGTCATTCTTCATTAAGAAATGTATACCATTAATCAATCTATGAATATAATCTACTTCACATCATCTTTTCAGTAAGCACCTTCGTCCACTGCCATAAAATCCTCCCAGCAGACACCAGACCCTTTACCATATCTATAATCTCAGGATTGAAATTCCTGCATTCATGGAAATATCCACTGCCGATTACACCTGCACAGAAAGAGTATGTAAAAACTATGCGTTTCATAAACACAAAACGAATAAGAAAAATGCATAATAATAGAGACAGCTACCAAAGATCTTATCAATGGAGGTGTTGGATGGCAGAGTACAGTTGAAGACTGTAAACTGTCTCTTCAGTCTTTGTGGGATGTCGTTTCTCCCACCACCAGGATGAATCATGGCAGCCTGAATCATTACATCCACAATAGTGGTGAAGTCTCCCGGTTTGTCTAGGTTGTACATGCCCTTCATTTCCATCATCTGGCGTACTATCTCATTTGTGATCTGGAACGGCAGTCAGACACAGAACATACTCAGACTGAACATAAAATAGTCAACAAATCAAATTTAAAAAACTTGCTATATAAACACCTGATCTCCCCATTCATTGACGATAGGCATGTTGATGTCATCAACGAAGACAGTCATCTTGCGCCCCCCTGGGGGACCATAGGTGCTGCCGATCCTTTTCTCAATGTAGCTTTCCACTGTGCGCTTTAGCAGAAAAACAAATATTTTGCAATCTGATTCCCAACTGTTGCAATCTGATTCCTAACTGTTGCAACTGATTCCTAACTGTTGCAACTGATTCAAAACTGTTGCAACTGATTCCTAACTGTTGCAATCTGATTCCCAACTGTTGCAATCTGATTCCCAACTGTTGCAACTGATTCCTAACTGTTGCAACTGATTCAAAACTGTTGCAACTGATTCCTAACTGTTGCAATCTGATTCCCAACTGTTGCAATCTGATTCCTAACTGTTGCAACTGATTCCTAACTGTTGCAACTGATTCCTAACTGTTGCAACTGATTCAAAACTGTTGCAACTGATTCCTAACTGTTGCAATCTGATTCCGAACTGTTGCAACTGATTCCGAACTGTTGCAATCGATTCCTAACTGTTGCAACTGATTAAAAACTGTTGCAACTGATTCCTAACTGTTGCAACTGATTCCTAACTGTTGCAACGGATTCTTAACTGTTGCAACGGATTCTTAACTGTTGCAACTGATTCAAAACTGTTGCAATCTGATTCCAAACTGTTGCAATCTGATTCCAAACTGTTGCAACTGATTCCTAACTGTTGCAATCTGATTCCTAACTGTTGCAACTGATTCCTAACTGTTGCAACTGATTCAAAACTGTACAAAGCCATGCATTGAGAGCATGATAAATAACATACCTGAAACATAATGGGTTCTGTTGCAGATGAAAAGTTTACAGACTTGGACAGGTCTGTCTCAGGATCAAATTTTTTAGTGTAGCTTTTTATCATGACGGTCTTCGCTGTCCCTTGTTCACCAATAAGCAGTACAGCCTATGCAAAGAATATGTACATGTTAACAGTATTTATATTTTTTAATGTAAATACACGTGTTATTTTATAGGTGACAAGATCACCTTGTGTTGTTTGGCAATAGTGTTCAGGAGGAAGGAGGTTCTTGTGTTATCCACATTTGGCACAAGAATGGAAGCGTAGTCAGGCACACAATCTGTTGGATAGATATACTCTCCAACAAGGTTATTCCAATGGCACCATTCACCTGAAACACAAATCATAGATGTATACAGTAACAGTCCTTTAAACACTTTAAAACTGTTAAAGGCAGCAAAGTGGTGGTTTTTAATGCTGTACCGTTTGTGTTGACCATGTACTCAAACATAGTCTCCCCCTGCTGGGTTTGAGGTACATCAATGTGACTGTCATGAGCTTGGATGAAGTTCTCCAGTTTTTCTCTATCCTGTAACTCCAAAAGGGCTCCCAGGCTCCACATCAGGCAGAAGACAAAAAGACGTTCAAGGTGGTGGTCACCGGCCAAGCCCCCTGTCTCCTTGGTTGGGATAAGGCCCTCCAGCAGATTCACAGACTGTAGGGTATATCATATTCAGATCATTCAGTGTTTCATGACACAGGTTTAGAAACATACTTCCTAATTCCTGTTTGTCTTCAACATGTTTGTGTGTACATACCTGCACGATGTAGTTGCACTCTAACAGCTCCATTTTCGGTTTAAGATTCTGTTTCATAAATAAGTAAGCATCCTCAAATATCTTGTCATACAGAGTCAAAATGCTTTCTGCCTCTCTTGCATTGCGCTTGTGAGCCCATCCCTAGAACATAAAGAACATGCTCAACCTAAAGACTCAATTTTAAAAGAAGAATTATTCTTTGCAAACACTATTCTTTGATCATTTAACAAATAAACTGTACCTGGAGTATGGGTTGCCAGCTGAGAGCTGAGGAGCTCATGAAGACCATACCCACCCGGGACACAGTAGCAGGGGAGGCATTATCCATGTTGTGCACCTCAAACACCAGCTTGCAGCATGGAGACATGACGATGCGGTCACCATTAGCCAGGGTCAGAGTTTTGTTATCATCCAGCACAGAGTTGAGGTTCTCAATCCATATGGCGTCCACAGGGCCATCCAGCAAAATCCATATGAACTCCCCTAAAGTGTGAACATTTCAAAGCCATAACAACGTAATGTTTTAATATCAAACCATATCTTCCACATTAAAAACTGAATCTTTGTTGTCGTTTTGTTAGTTATTAAGTCATTAACCTTTCTTGGCTTTAAGCGTCCTCCTCCACAGAGTGGAAAAGATTCCATCAGTCCAATCATTGGTGGCTACGTCAAGACGACCAAACATTTGTGGGGCAGAGATTGCTTTGGGATTCATGCGCATCTCTCTGTGAGGGGCTCCACATTCAGACATAGCCTTCATGAGTGTGTTGATGGCCGCAGTTTTTCCAGCTCCACTTGGACCCAGAGTCATCAGGCCATGACGCACTCGAGAAGACTCATAAAGCTGTTAGTAAAGGAAACATTTGAGTCATGTTTGATCCAAGCACAACACAACAGGAGCTTGACATACAGGTAAAGAGTTTCTGAGGTACCTGAACAAGCTTCAGGTTCCATGGTGGGTGGTTGACTAGACCAGCAAGCTCAACTTGATGGGCCACAGCAACTTGAAGTTCAACATATGTGCTCCCATCCAGCTGGATACCAGGGAATAGATCATTGATCAAACTGAGGAAGAGAGGCTCATCCTCATCCACCTGAAATATACAGAAAGATTCTCTTAAACAGTATCCACTGACACAGTACTATACCTCCGAAGTATGTTATCTTATCCAAGGTGGTAAAAAAATGAGATTGTGTAATACCAATTTAGAAAGATTCATGTCACGTAGAACTCTCATGACAGTGCTGGACTCTGTGTCTTCAGGTCGTGCTCTTTTATTGGCTCCAAGTGTTCTTAACACGGACAGGATGTTCCTCAGGCCAAAGTCATAGTGGACCTGACAAATAGCAGAGGACGTTTGTCAGTAGGTCAAGCCTCATACCAAAATAGGAATCAAGCATTGGCCACAACATTCTCACCTGTTTTGTAAGTTGTTCTTCACAGAGTTTATAAAGGACAAAGAACTTCTGGGCCAATATGACATTGTCATTAAATCCACAACTGGCTAGTTTGACTCTCATGATGATCTGCTCAAAACAATAGCAGAACATTTACCATGTGTAATGATTAGAGCACTACAAAAACAGTTGTTTTCCAGCACATGTAGCTATGACTTACTTGCCGGTCTGGTACCATCATTGATACTGTCCTGAATTGCACTTTTAGGTTTTCAGGAAGTTCCTGACGACCTGCATACCCTGGGTTCTACATATCGAATGGAGACACAACATATTTAGTGTATTTTTTGTATTTTTCAGAGATTCCTGTGCATTTTTGTATCTTACCATTGTGATAAACAGGCCAAACTCTGGATTCAGATGCACTAAGTCTCCATCAGTAAAGATGAAAGAGGTTTTGACTTTCTTGCGTGCCATCAGGACAATGTAGATCTGCTGAGCAGCAACAGAAAGCACTGGCAGGTCGATTCTGTTGAACTCATCAAAGCAGCCCCAGGACCCTGACTGTGCAAGGCCTGAAAAAGAATAGATGATCAGACAATTGAAATGTTACACACCCTGCTGGATGAATCATTTTATTGCCCGGGATACCTTTGTATATCTTGCCAAGTCCTCTAAAGTCCATCTGGTCCGAGCAGTTAAAAACCACAACATACTTGCCGAGGCAGCGACCCATGTCTTTAGTGGTTTCAGTTTTTCCTGTGCCAGCTGGACCTGCTGGAGCTCCTCCCATGCTCATGCCAAGAGCCTGGGACAGTGTGATATAACACCTGTTGATCAAAATAAATGTCATGATTCAACTTAGAAAATAAACAGTATAGAAAAAGGCAATATAATCAATATATAATTCTCTTTCCTGTCAGTCAGAGGGGTGATGACCAGACGGTCGGTACAGCCTAGGAACTCATTCTGATACATGAAGTCCACATTAGTAATGGACACAAGGACCTTATCCACATCCTCCTTGAAGAAAAATCTGCTCTGCTTCAGCCATTCAAAGTCACTGATAGATTTGATACGCTTTTTTACCTGAGGACAAATCAGGATATCAATATCAACATCTTGGATACATTACAAAAAACAATCAACATAAAGATATAAAGATTCGTAGAACCTACTAGGTCATTAAATATGTCACTCTGGTGCACATGGATTGTGACGAGCGTCTCATATTTGATTCTGTCAAATTTGGTCAGATCACAGGTTGTTTGTTTAATTAGTGCGCCGAGTAGGTTTAGAAATTTCTTTTTGGTAAAAGGCATGATCTCCCTGTCATATTCAGCAGATTGCAGTGCCTCTTCTGAATCTCTTGTCCATAGCATCTGGATTCCCAGCAAGCCCACCTAGAAAAAGCATATAAAGAGATCACCACGTAGTAGTTTAATCAGGATATTAATTAGTCATTATTTTTGTGGAAACATCTTCAAGTGTTGGTTGTTCGTATCCAACTTAAACAATAGAGAAAAATCGATCTAAAAAGACCCTGTACACGCCTAGTATTGAGCTGATACCTAAGGTAAACAAGGTACAGTCAATGTAGAGCACATATTCACTACTGTACTCAGACCTGGGATTGGAACTTGTCGAGGAAAGGCACAAGTTCAAAGTCTTCATCGTTGACCTCTAGATCTGCAGATTTTATTACAGAGTGCAATGAAGCCTGCTGTTGTAACAACAGCTGCCCGAGCCAGAGCTCCACGGGTCCCTGTCCCATGACAGGGTGGTCCAGCTGAAAACACAAATACACATTTACTATACAAGATACTATACTTCTTAAGAGAGGAAATCAGCAAAGTGCATTTACTCAAGTACAATTTTAAGGTGTTTTTTCCCCTCTTTTTCTCTCCTACACAGCATGTTAAAGTTATTGTATCAATTATAATATATGTATCAATTAATACATTTTACATAAAAAACACATAACACATACACGCTAGGGCTGCTTGATTATGGCAAAAATCATAATCTCGATTATTTGGGTCAATAATTGATATCACGATTATTAAAAACAATTATCCATTTACTTTGAAAACATCCATTTATTGAAAAAACAATTTTTTGAATAGTTGACTACCCTGAACTTTAAGTATAATTCAACTGAAAAACCAATACAAAAAAATCGTTTTATTTAGATCGTAATTGCGATTAAAATACGATTAATTGAGCAGCCCTAATACACACTATACTAAATCATACAGTTTGAAAGATTCCCAACAATTGATAAAGTAATTAAAATCAATTGATTCACACCAACTGCAAAGAAGTGCTTAACATTAGGAGTACCAAATGAAGCTCCACATGTTGTTAGTACATGATTCTGCAATCAGCGTTACGTACCGGAAGCTTCTCTCCCTCTTGTGAGATAACACCCATAATCTTGTCATACTCAGTTGCATGAAACTCCGCTTCGTTAACATTGTCAAACACTCCGAGAAGATGTGGCTGAATTGTGTGAGAGTCACTGGCTTGTCCGAGGATTTCCAAAAGGGATGGATCAGACACGAAGAAGAACCGTGGGAAGAGGAGCCTCTTTTTCTCAAGGTACCTGTTGAGTCAGATCACATGATCTCCAGTGAACACGTCGCCACCACCAACTGCAGCAAAGGGTTTGCATATGTGAGTATTAACCAATGAAAAGAAGGAAAAAGAACGAGCCTGATGACAGTGCTGGAATGGAAAACAATAGTACAACAATATTTAATGGATAGTGCCGCATAAAAATTGGTTTCATCCCCACTATGTTTGTATAAAACCAAATATGTAAAGCTTTACCCTGCCAGAGATTTTTGACAGAACTCCAGCTGTTTCTGCAGATCTGGGAGGAGCTGTACCAGAATTGGATCACCCACGCAGCACTCCACCACATTTGGGACTTTGTGGGCTCGCTGCATTACTGTAACCCAGGACTTGTCAATGTTCTGAAAACGTTTTGCTTCCTACATTGGAAAAAAAAATATATATAATTTAGTTTATTTAAAAGCTGATAATTATTATTTTCAAAACATTAAAGGTGGGGTAGGTAAGTTTGAGAAACCGGCTCGAGATACACTTTTTGTTATATTCCATGGAATGCTCTTAACATCCCGATAGCAATGAATATCTTAAGTGCCTTGACAAAAAATCCATAAAAAAATGTCATCAGTGGAATGCATAACTGGATGGCCTACCTGCCTGTCAGCCTTCCATCTGTGCACAAACTTATCTCGTGCCCTCATTGGTCATGTGCGCGTTCGTGTGTGTTGGAGGAGGGGCTCTGTAAGGAAGTGGCAGATTTTTTCCGGCTGTGTATTTTCAAATTCTAGCGCACTCGAGCTGGTTTCTCCAAAATTACCTACCCCACCTTTAAAGGTAGTATAGGTAAGAATGGAGAAACCAGCTCGAGTGCGCTAGAATTTGAAAGTACACAACCGGAAAAGATCTGCCTCTTCCTTCAGACTTCCTTACAGAGCCCCTCCTCCAACACACACGAACGTGCACATGACCAATGAGGGCACGAGATAAGTTTGTGCACGAGATGGAAGGCTGACAGGCAGGTAGGCCATCCAGTTATTTTAGCCGGGCCGGCTCAGATGATTGGTTGTGCTTTTTACAGTACTACGGCTTCCACAGATGACATTTCTTTATGTATTTATTGTCAAAGCCTTTAATATATTCATTGCTATCGGGATGTTAAGAGCATTCCATGGAATATAACAAAAAGTGTTTCTGAAGTGAATTACCTACCCCACCTTTATGGGCTCAGAACAGTCTCATAATACACACATGCACACAGAAGGATTCACACTTGTATTTCATGATCCACAAAAGGATTCACACTTGTATTTCCGGATCCACACTTGTGTTTTTCAATGCACACACAAATGTGTTCCGTTTCATATACATGTAAATAAAATCCAAATACAGAAAAAAGTTTTACATATGTATTTTTGATCCTCACATATTTGTTTTCCGTTTAAAACCTCTGCACCTGCAAACACAAACCGCTTTCTGTGCATGGATCGCTCTGCATTCGTGTGTGGGTTTTTTGAGACTCCCCTGACGGTGACCCGATTCGTACTTGTAATTTTTTCTATCTATAGCCAATCAGATTTCTCCTCAATTCTAAGCCAATCACATGAGCGCGCCCCCACAAGGGTAGATTTCTTGCGTTCATGACGTAGCGCTTCATGTACGCATTTTGCGCTGTCCGGAGCTGACAGGTCCATGGAGCCTGCCTGCAGGCGCTAATCTCAGGACACCTCCACTCTCAGTACATTACCACTTTCCGATCAGGAAATGCACGCAAATACAAGCCTTTATATTATTAAGGTACAGTGCCACTTTCCGAACCATTAATGAATGCTTGTGTACACAAAAACGGCAGGCAAAACTGTTTTAAATGTGTGTTTCCTGTATGGCGATCAGCTGCTTTATTTATGTCTGTATGAAGTTGTTGTGAGTGTGGAGGGAGCAGCTACAGGTTAGCTTAGCCTAATCGATCAGTGCACTACGAAGCCAGTGCTAGACAGTGAACTGTCAACGGGGGGAGCCCCGCCGGTCATTATCGGCCGATATTCACTCTTAATAGTTTGATCGGTGCTCTCTATAAAGGCCGATCAGGAGAGCTGGATCTGATCGATATGGACATAAACGCGAGTGAAGTTTTAGCGAGCTGCATGAGAAACTGACGGGCTGTCAGGAGAGAGGGAGGGAGAGAGGAAAAGAGATGATCCTTACTCCCGTGTTATTATCCGGTCATAGTCCGGTAATTACCTAACGGAAACGCTGCTACACAATTCTTATTATTATTATTATTGAAACATGACCGGTAAGTTTCAAATTTGTCCGGTAAAATTAAATTCTGTCCGCGGAAACCCTGCTCCGGACTACGCAAAATGCGTATATGAAGTGACATGAACGCAAGAAATCTACCCTCGTGGGGGCGCGCTCATGTGATTGGCTTAGAATTGAGGAGACATCTGATTGGCTATAGATAGAAAAAATTACAAGTACGAATCGGGTGACCGTCAGGGGAGTCTCAAAAAACCCACACACGAATGCAGAGCAATCCATGCACAGAAAGCGGTTTGTGTTTGCAGGTTCAGGGGATTTAAACGGAAAACAAATATGTGAGGATCAAAAATACATATGTAAAACTTTTTTCTGTATTTGGATTTTATTTACATGTATATGAAACGGAACACATTTGTGTGTGCATTGAAAAACACAAGTGTGGATCCGGAAATACAAGTGTGAATCCTTTTGTGGATCATGAAATACAAGTGTGAATCCTTCTGTGTGCATGTGTGTATTATGAGACTGTTCTGAGCCCATACACCTTTAAGATAAAGTCAATTTGTATTACCTGTGGCAGGTCTTTGGCAATGTCACCCCCAACAAACACAGCTTCCAGATAGATCCACAGGTTTTGCACAATGACCCACTGCTCAATGACATCCGATGATGTTGAAAGGTTTGACACCCATTCCTGGATCTCTGCTTTATAGAAGGCACTGTACCTATAAAAGGAAGACAAGGACACTAGTTACTTAAGACCGCACGATGCACTGTGTGGCTTCAATCGTTGCTCTGCAGTACCTGTTGCTCAGCAGTGACCCCAGCACCATTAGACTGTCCTCCAGGAAGGTAAGGATCTCTGTTGTGTCCGCCGCTTTCAGCATCAGTTCACCTCTATCCTTAAAGTTGATCAGGCTCAGGAGCTGGACGGACCACACTTCTTTCACCTGTATCAACTTGGCGTCGATATCCTTCTCCTTTATAGACGATATACAGATGTCCTACAGATGCAAAGAAAGAATCAAGCTTAGGAGAACAACATTAGATCAAATACTGTACTAGAAATACTAGAAATTAGGGCAGGTTGCAACCACAGTATCCAAGAAGCCAGCAAACCTCAATATCGTCCTTGTACTTCAGAAGAGGCGCTTCCATGATGTTGCGCAGCGTAAAGGTGACGGACTCCACCTCAAAATGGTGCCCAGTCAGGCCTGTGATCCGGTCCCAGTGTCTCCTCATCATAGACTTGCTTGCCATCATCTCAAGCAGAGGACATGACTCACTGAAATCATCAATTGTCTTTTTCAGGTCCATGAAAGCTGGCCAGTCCTTCAGTGCTTTGGGTAGCTTTCGGCACCTAGACATAGGGAACAACATTGATATAAAGGTTTGAAAGAAATAGACAAACAGTTTAAGTTGTATCTACATATACTTCAATAATTGTAACTTTCTACAGAAGTTATAGATATGATATTGTATTAATGGGCCACATTACAGTGTTTTGTACAATAATGTTTTTATATTGGCACATGCTTACCTATAAGCCAGTGTTTCTCTAACTTTTTCATACCAAGGACCACTTAACCAATAAAAAAACACTCGCGGACCACCTAACTCCCCAAATATCCAAAAACAATAGGCCTGCTTAACACTCCAACAGTATGTAACAAAGTACAGCCTAATAATAACAACAGCTTAACGTGACCTCTCTGTATCGCCTCGTTCACACATTAAATCAACAATAAAAATTCAACTACAGATGATATAAGCCTTTAGTTCAAATGCGATTTAAAATGCTCACAGGTTTTACACCTCTTATGAAATGTAGACTACATTTATTACGGATTTTATGTCCAACAGACTCACAGGTCGTTGGCTACTGAGAGATATACTCACGGACCACTAGGGGGCGCTCACGGACCACACTTTGAGAAACACTGCTATAAGCAATGTCGTTTCCCAACAAATAAAAAGCATAGTGCATATTGGCTGTAACAGTGAGGTGGGGGGAAACAACAATAATACTTGGATTACCTGTTCTGAAATTCCAAAAGTTCTCCATTTATCTTCTCAATATCCACTTCTGTCCACAGAATGCCATAGTACCCGCTGATTTTACCCATCACTGCATCATATAGGCCATAAAGTTTGTGCAGGAGGTCAAGCTCTTTTCTAAAGTTATAAAAGGAAATCATTGATTGAATTAGTCTGAACACATTTTCAAATATGATCAAGATGAACAACTTAACCAAGAACTCCAGGTAAAGTAGCTTTTGTAGAGTTGTACAAACTTTTTCTTCTGTAGGCAGTCATACTGTGTGACTGGCAAGCCGAGGATTTGCTCCCCAAAGTTATACGTGGTGAAATCCCTCCACAGTTCTTCAAATTGAGTCTGAGGAGAAACAAACAACAAGGTTTTCATTTGATGGTATTTTCCTTCATCTTACTTCGTTTAATTCAATTTTTGTTTCTTCTTTACATGGGCTAAAAATAGTGAGGTCACAATTCAATTATTTGGATTTGGAGTAATGGTTCACAGGTTAAAACAATTAAAAATTAAGTGTTCTACAAATTGTATATGTAATATATGGCCTCTCTTCTTGTGTTACCTGACAGATCCGAAGCCTGGAGCTGGCTTCTTGGGGAGCAATTCCATCAGCCATGGGGCCTTCCTAAAAGCAAGACCATTTGAACCAGTTAATTGATTAATTAATTGACTTTGAATGATACAAATCTTTCCTACAAATTCACAGATGACTTACTGTATCATACTGATTCAAAAAAGTGCCAACATCATTTTGGAAAGTAGTTACACCCTCCAGAAGGTCTTGTTTGAAAATGGGCTGCTTACGAACAAGTTCTTCTTGCACTAATCTCTGGGAAAGACAGGAACCAAAACGTTTCAGAAGAACACATTATAAAACCAAAAAATATAAATATATATATGAATACAATTATAATACTAACAGCTTTAGACTGAAGCTTTGTGAAGAAATGCCTCAGATTGAACACTCCCTCTGCTTCTCTTTTGGTCACCTCTGCTTCATATTTAGTCAAAATTTCAAAAGCTTCCTGTAACATATAACATAATCATAAAATGGTTATTTGACACGCACATAATTGAAAATGCAGTTCTTACTTATCAAGGAAAAAACAACATTTCTGAACCACCGTGATCAAACGTTTTTCAGAGCACACAGATTTAAAATTTGATAAGTAACAAATGTCATACCTCAATGGAAATCAATGTCATATCAGTTTGTATTTCAGCATCCCGGAGCTTAGACAGGGCCCCCATGGATTTGCGCACATCTTCGAGATTAGCCACAGGGTGGGATAGTTGTACAATGTATTTGTTTGTATGGATGCTGGTGTCGATCATTTTCTTCTTGTACTTCTCCTTCAGGTATTTGCACAAAAGCTTCTTCCAGGCTTTGGTCTCAACTGTCAAGGACTTCCTTAATGGCGCTGCATTCAAGAGATATCATTTACAGTGCAGAAAAAGCAACCCCTTTGCTCTAACATAAACACAGTTCACAAACCAGGCCCGACCTACAAATCACGGCAAAACCGAAATGTTGCTATCAAATCCATTTTTTTAATCAAATTCCCTATGATAGAGGGGTTTTTTATTGTAAAAAGATTGTTGGCAAAGATAGCAATGTTGGTAAGTATGTACACGGCTTGGTTTCAGACAGAAATATATTATTACAACATTTAAATGTTGAAAATGTGGTGTTCCCAAAAGGTCATTACATATACAGACAATCATGCTCAACACATAGCTGCTTCTAACTGTAAAAGTAAAAAACTCTAACACTTCAGAGCATCCTCTGGCTGTGTAATGTAATGCTTTCTCTCAAGTATCAAGTGAAAACCTGATGCTGTACATTATTACTGCTACCGTACCTGTTGACAATTCAGTCGACCCCAAAACAATGATGGGTTTGATATCATCAATATCTTTTTCAATTGAGTCGTAGTGCTGGATTTCAGATTTGATCTGGATCAAGGATGGATTGCTGTCCATGAATTCCTTTAAAAGTTAAGTAAACATGATGTCGTTGGTCATCATCTTCATCATCATCATCATCATCATCAGCATTATTGGAAAACATATTTTCTGCCAAAAAGTCTTATGTTATGTTCTCTGAAAACAAACCTTGACTTTGAGGTTCCTGTCCTCCTCCCAAAGCACTCTGAACGGGCTGAATTGCTTCAGAACACCGGCTGCTTCTTTCCTTTGGGTGCTGACTGCTGATTTCAGAATGACCACAACCTTTTTGATGTCCTTGTGTTCAACAACTCTGTGATAGAAATGTTCTTTTTCTCCGCCTGTATGAACATCACAAAAAAAAGATTAAATGTATTTTGACTAGAGAGGCGAAGTCCCGCCCATCGACTTCCGACCCATGGGACCTTATTTAGGAAAAGGAAAGTATTGAAGTCAATGGGGAGAGAAAGATTATCTCTCGATCCCGTTTGAATTGTGCCACGAATTACACATATGATGTTTGTCAATCTTTTTTAATTTTCCATGTAAAAAAAGTCACAGTTTGTCGTAAAACTGTTGAGATATAAGACTATGAAAAATACGCAACTAAAAGACTACAAATCCCAGAATCCCGGTCCCGCATGCTGGCTCTTACGGAACCGACTAACTCCCCTTCTGTGTATGTACAGCTCTCAACATGCCCAGACTTGTAGTGATTTTCACCTCTTTTAATACTTTTCGCCTCATTCTGAAAGAGAGAAGTGAAATGTGCCAACGTGACGGCTGTCTTGGTGTGTGGTGCGAGACGGGAGATGTAGTTCATTGAGCGGTTTCACACAAAAAAAAGTGTTACTTCAGTTTTATTTTTTTGACTTGCAAAATTATCTTTTAAATTGACAAACATCATATGTGTAATTCGTGGCACAATTCAAACGGGATCGAAAGATAATCTTTCTCTCCCCATTGACTTCAATACATAATCTTTCCGAAATAAGGTCCCATGGAGGTCCCCTGGAAAGGGAGGGACTTCGTCTCTCTATTTTTGAAACAAATATATGACTTACTAAACTTTAATTTAATGCATTTCGTCTGTTTCAATTTAATAAGACGAATAGTTGGTTGCCTCAGATCCACATTCATTATATGTAAGGATACACTGTATGTGATTTCTGTCTGTCTTTCAGGTCTTCATCCATGCGCATGCTGACAACAACGTACCTTTGTTCTTGGTGCCATCATGACTGTATTCCCGCTGCCAGGCAATGCCCTTGCTTATTTCCAAGACCAAGTCGATTAACCGATTGATTGCCTGTTGGATCTCCTCTATAGCGGGAATCATTACCTGATGACAACATCAACAGAGAAAACATATTTTCTGTTTAACAAAATTGGCAAGGAGATCTAAGTTATCCATCCCCTTTAAACAAGTAACAGTACTTATGTGAGATGGAATCAGTTGCCAATGAGAAGTAGAAACTCACCACGTTTGGTATAATCAGCTGGACTTCACTATTTAATAGCGAAACCATCTTAGACTTTGTTGATTTCGATCTGGAAGAGATCATGTCATTTCTATTAGATTTTGGCCTTTTTTCTTTTTACATGCTGAATAAAACAGACACACTTACTTAGTGCCACACACTCTCCTTCTCAGGGCCTCCAGAGATAGCTTGGTTGTTTTCACCAGTGCATCGAATACCCTCTCAGTAAAGTATTCATAAAGCTTCTTAAACTCCTGGAATTAAGATGTTTTATTTAAGCATTGACATATTTATGCTTATGGTTTTTATATGAGCAATGTTTTATAGTTTGTAAGCAAACAAACCTTCTTAAATTTGATTGCTCTATCTCTGTCAGGACCTTCTGAATTCCTTCCAACATCCTCACTAGGGGTTTTCTGAGTCTCTCCTGAGAATGACACAGTCCGTCGTCCTACAATGAAAAGGTTAAATAAAGGAGATAAACATGCATACATGTAAGATATTGTAATTTCAGGTGCTGTATGACTGTTTCTTCAATTGTTTTATATTAATTCCACCTGAATTCAATACCTGAGATAGGCAATTGACCTGAAACAGGTTCCTCCACAGTCTTCTTTGTGCTTTTTGATTCATAAATGCCCCTGAACACATTACCAAGCTCCTTCACTGCTCGTTTAACACGATTATATTTGAAGTCCAATATCTTTGTCCACTCCTTAGAATGATTCTAAAAACAGATATATGAGTCAATAAATGAACCAGACATAATTCAAATAGAAAGGCGAAGTCCCTCCCTTTCCGGGGGACCTCCATGGGACCTTATTTCGGAAAAAGTATGTATTGAAGTCAATGGGGAGAGAAATATTATCTTTCGACCCCGTTTGAATTGTGCCACGAATTACAAATATGATGTTTGTCAATCTTAAAAGATAATTTTGCAAGTAAAAAAAAAAAACGTTTTGCCGTGAAACCGCTCAGTGAACTACATCTCTGGTCTCGCACCACACACCAAGAAGGCCGTCACGTTAGCACATTTCACTTCTTTCTTTCAGAATGAGGCGAAAAGTATTAAAAGAGGTGAAAATCACTACAAGTCTGGGCACAATTCAAACGGGATCGAAAGATACGTTTTCTCTCCCCATTGACTTCAATACATAATTTTTCCGAAATAAGGTCCCATGGGTCGGAAGTAGATGAGCGGGACTTCGCCTCTCTATGTATTGCAGATTTTTTTTTAAACGAAACCTTTGTTAAAGCCACATAGGGCAGCAGAAATACATGTTGAACTCAACATTATTATAACAATATTCAGCGAAAAATAAGGAAATTCAATATTCATGTAATAATTTTGAAGATGAACAAATACCTCATTGAGGTCCATCAAGTGCTGCACTGAAGATGCATGGTCTTCAGGGAGCTCAATCATCACAGTCTCTGAGATGTCTTTAAGGACATCATCAATGTGTATCTTACAGACATCCTGCACCTGGAAAACAGGAAAGGAAACATATAGAAATATTCCTCTAAAGCAATAGCAGCTTCATGAATACCTGAAGGGTAGAAGTGTGAAAAGGGTTGCTGACTGGCAATTGCAATGCTATCCATATGTGACAAATAAAGATAGCTAACATTTGGTAAGAGCGTTTCTTCAGCAACATACATTCTTTACGAGATGTTTAAGCTCAAACAAAGCAGCGTCCACATTTTCGAAGAACTTGTCCAGGAGAAAGGACGACCAGGTGAGCATCACTGAGCCGTGGCGAAGCACAGATTCCACCTTGCATTTCACCAAAACAGAACAGGTAAATAATTAGAAACTGTGAAAGCGTTCTATAAATAACACAACAGTAACTTTTTAAGGCACAAATGACATGATAATACAAATGTGATAAAGCTAGTTCCACACCTATGAATATTGCCTGTAGCAAGCTTTACATTTGGCTTTTTATACAATTTCTCACATAACGCACTAGTGTTTTAGTGGATAAGGAACTTAGCAAGAAGCACTGAAAGGGTTTGTTTGCACTGACCTCTGGAACATATAAGTTGAAGTATTTATGTTTAATTTATCATAAAATTATATGTGATACAAGTCTCTCTTTACCAATTCGATTTATTTTGTATTAAGGTAAATGTTCTACTTAAAAAATGAACTGTGTTTACAAACTGCTTACATGTTTTATTTTTGAAGTCATCAGGTTGACTAACTCTGCAGGAATGCTCTGAATGGTCGCCTCATAATCTGCCAAAATGGTCTATAGAAAAAAAACAAATACACAAAAAAGTCATTTTTAATAAAGCTTCCAGTCCATCTGTTAAAATGTTTTAAATGTCGTTATAATTTACCTGCAGTCGGAGGTGGTCAGAGTTGAGTTTGCTTTCCAACTTTACCAGATTCAAAGCCTGCTTCGGAACCTCCATTCCCATCTTCATCAAACAGTTAGCCTCCCGTATGACCTCGGTGACTTTAGGGTCGAAGTTGACAACTAATTTTCCAGTCTTTGCGTGACGAACCAGCAGAGTAATATTCAAGACTGTAATAAGGAGGAATGGGGGAGAAGGCATTTGAAAATAATTCAATGTTCAAGGAGAGTGCCACAGTGACGTGTCCTAAAACCTGGAAGTTAGTTAGCATTTTACCACTTCCGGTTCCTTCGACAAAAAACAATGCAATTTCTCCATAGGATTTTGGAAAATAGCTCGAAATAAGGTCTGTGGTTGACACACATTGTAGAGACAGATCACGTTTTGTTCAGCCGGATAATCTCCACATGTCTACCCTACTTTTATAATCATATCTATCTAATCGATAGATTTATGATCGATAGATTTATGATTATTCGGCTGAACAAAACGTGATCTGTCTCTTCAATGTGTGTCAACCACAGACCTTATTTCGAGCTATTTTCCAAAATCCTATGGAGAAATTGCATTGCGTTTTTGTCGAAGGAACCGGAAGGAGTTTACTTCCGGGTTTTAGGGTACTGTGGCACTCTATTGTGTGCAATCTAGGTTATCAACATATCAAGTCATAACCAGGTAACTTACTATAATCCAGTTTGGACACTTCAGTCATCCATGCTCTGTGGTAAACAGACTCAAACTCTAGAAATGCAGCTGCAGTTTGGTTGTACATTTTCACCACATCTTGTCCCTCAGGGCTGGACAGGATGTCAGAGTTGTTCTGTTAATGGCAAAAGGTGCTTTCAACATTAAAACAATTCAGTAGATAACTCATTTTTTTAAGTTGTTTTTCAGAGAGAAATTAAGCCATACTTTTATGTATGTGATGGGTTCCTCTATTTTTTGGAAGAGATGCTTGACCCAACCAATCCTTCCAGCCACTGGAGGCATGTTTCTAGCTAATGGGGGGTCATCTCTCTGTTTTTCATAGACCTGCAGAGAAAATGTCAGGGTTCATACACTTTTTCACCAATGATTTTCAATTACTTTTCCATGACTTCTCCATGACCTTTACCTAATTTTCCATGACCAAAGAAATTACTCTTTCTCAGCGGTACCACTGACATTTTTTTATTTTAACATGGAACAGGAAAATAAGGTCGAAACAGGTTGTGCCTATCTAAAACAAATGAACTAGTAGGCTTACTAGCTTCTACAGGCTAAAGCAACTAAAATCTCTCACCAGCAAAATACCTCGTCAGTTAAATGCCATTTTACGTTTCATGACTATACGATACAGTATTTATTATCATTATAGTATTACTATTTTGGCGATTAGATAAAATATAAATTATATTTGATGCAACTTTAGTTACATTTCCATGACTTTTCCAAGACTTTGGGAAAAATATTGTTTGCCATAACTTTTCCAGGGCCTGGAATTAGCATTTTGAATTTCAATGACTTCTCCAGGTTTTTAATGACCGTAAGAACCCTGAAATGTACATGTTAATTTCATCAAAAACGTCAAAGTTTTAATTTGACATTTATATATTATTCTCAGTGTCGACTGAAGCATGGAAATGGGATACCTTTTTCGCAAACTCTACTTCTGAGAAATAGTTCTGAAGAATACAAGCCAACAGGTTGGAGATTTCCGAGTCAAGACAGGGAATATTCAGCCTCTGAAAACTACAAATAATAAGAATCATTAAACACCGCATTAAAATGTTAGGATTAGAAAGCCAAATCATCCAGTTAAAAAAAAAAAAGACAGAACAATGTTTATATTATATGTATATACTAACCGCTGTATTAGGACCAGAGCTTGCTGAGATGAGAATTTGTTCACGAAGCAGGAACTCATAAATGCCCGAAGCTGATGCTGCAGAAAGGGATAGCCGAAATATAAATAAACCATCTATTGTATATTTGGAACAATACTTAATGAACTTAAAGAAAGGAAGCTATCTACATTACAAATTGTACACAAAAGGATATAAATATACCTCAATGTGGCCAATTTGAGCGATGAACTTCGTGAAATCCGACTCAAATTCAATGGTCCTTGGAGCCAACATGTCATACTGCTTCCTCTTCAGGTTCATGGACACAGTGTGGAATTGTCTGGCCAGAATCTCAATGCCCTCAATATTTGATTTCCCAAGGGGTTCAAACATCTTGAACAGTGTAATTATTTGTGTGATCTACAATAGAGAATGCTTGGTTACTTTGCAAGACCTTGTGATTAGAGTGGGATTCAAATTTAAAAAGTGAGCATGGACCGCACCTTTTCAAGCTGCTTGCAGAAGCCCTCAAACTTGCAAAAAATCTGACTCTCTGAAACATCAAAGGGCTTCTTTCCAGGACTTTCCATATTTTTTTTCTTTGCTTTCTGGAAGCATGACTGATACTCCTGAAATAGGCAGATGCAGTCCTGCCAAAAATAGAAGATGCATAAATAAAGTGGCATGCTGATTTTAACGCAAGTTACATGACACCACAAAATGATCCATAAAGCAGTAGGTGTCATTATCACCTGCATTTTCTTGACCATTTCCTCAGCATCTTGGTCCCATATTAGACATTTGCCGTTGTCAGTAATATATGATCTGCAGGCTGTAACCATCTGATTTGTAACCTGGAAGTTTTTTTTCAGGAACAAAAAGTATATTGGACGCTTACATTTTCTGAAAACAACTTAAATGTTCTGCGACTAAAAACAAAACACTTACTTTTACGAACAGTGCTGATATCTTTTCTCTGGTATTGTAGTACAATGAAACATTGTAAATCATTTGAATAGCATTGATGACGTTCGGCACGCTTTTCAACATGGTGACCTGAAATCACACATAATTCAAATATTATTAAACTATTAATGTACCTAAAAATGGTACCGAATCACCTTCATACGTGACATTCTTAAAGTTCCAGTTAAAGTTGTAACATTTTTGATATTACCAAAAAATCCATTGGCTCTAAGAGAAGTAGAAAGGTGACTAGTACGATCTGTCGCACTTAGATTAGATTACTTTATTGTCATTACAAAATGCAAGCACAGTGTAACAAAATTAAGGAGGGTCTAACCAGAGTGCAAAACAGTCAGTTATATACACAATTATCAGAAGTATGTACAAAATAAAGGTAAATAGATGGGAAATGTATAAATAAGAATAAATACACAGATAATAATAAATACAGTGAATACAGTGCTGTATATACAGCAGTAATGTGCAAGGATAATTGCGCTTCAGCACAGCACACGACAACTTGCTGTTTCCTTCTGGAAATGCAACTGACGCCACACATACGTTTAAAAAAACTTGAAGGAGCAGTTTCCTTCATTGACTTTGTTTAGTAAAAAACTAGTTTAATCCTGTTTGGAAATAATGCATTTATCCTTTACTTTAAAACTCACAGCTTTGTGTAGTCCACCATAAAAGCTGTCTTTAATTATTACCAGTTATCCACTAGAGGTCACTGTATCTAGTGTTTATTAACACCTGCTGCAACCATGGGCTGCATCTGAGATAGAATAGAATGGGAGGGATGAAACCCTCTTTAATGGTCACACATGCAGAGCACACAGCACACAGTGAAATGTGTTCTCTGCATTTAACCCATCCTAGTACCAGGAGTCTAGTACTAGGAGAAGTGGGCAGCTATTGTACAGCGCCCGGGGAGCAATGGGAGTGAGGGGGGGTGTCCGGTGCCTTGCTCAAGGGCACCACGGCAGGACAGGAGGTGAACTGGGACCTCTCCAAGTAGCAGTCCACACTCCATATTTTAGGTCTGGTCGGGGACTTGAACCGGCGACCCTACAGCTCCCAGTCCAAGCCCCTACTGACTGAGCCACTGCCGGAGATTGTTGACTTGTTCAATAAACATTGAATTCTATGTCAACTGTTTTAAGTGTGTTATTGTCAAAAAAATTATAAGGATTGATATCATGGGTAATGTGAAAGGTGATCATCAATGTTTAATATGTTTTATGCCGATTTATGTCATTATTTCACTCTAATACGTATGGTGTAATAAGTCCTCCCTGTAGAATGTCAACACTCTACAAAGAAGTATTACATTTGATATGCAGTGTTTTAACAACCATTGGTCCTCCACACGTGTTCAACACATTGTGCCTGCAATATACCCCTACATCTTAGGGCAGATACAATGATGTAGCATACAAAAAGTACAAATACAAACGTTGCTTAGACATGTATTATAAATTACTGTTCCTACCGGGTCACTATTGTAAAGAGGTTGACAGATTTTCTCCAGTGTGTTAAGATATTTGACATTGTCCTTTGCCTCATTTACGCGATCTGTTATCCTGGCATCCAGCTCCCGCCACATCTATATAGTTCAAAAAGTTGATATACAATGTAATCCTTCAAAAAGACAAGTTAAAGATGCAATTTAACGCCTACCGATTCTTGTTTCAAATAAAACTCTTTTCACTTGAAGTGATGTTCTCAGGTTTAATTAAAAACACATAAGACATGTCTTAAAAAAGATTGAAAAATATATATACAATAACTCTGTATTACTATGTTGACTTTCTACACTTAAGCGTCCATACCTTCATAGTCTTGGAGTGGCTGATATGGAGCACCATCATCACCGCCTTACACTCTGGACCCTTGATGTGATTGATGATGGAGTTGAACCTTAAAGACATTTTTTTCCAGTATTCTAACTCACTTAACGGGCCTGCAGAATCAACCCCTTTCCTTAACTGATCAGTTTCTATCAGGACCTGACGAGGATGGATATAGAGAATAGTTACAGTCTTTTCCACACACAGTAATTCATGTACAATAAGATTAATTTTGTGAGTAATATGCTTTGGCAGTTAACTGATGCTTGATACTGGGTAAGTGGTAAAGGATGTATTTTTAAAGATTGTAAAAAAACCTACCTTCTCGATTTGCTTATACCATTGCATGAGAATTTCTTCCAGTCGATGCACCATGTCAAAGTTAGCAGCTGCAACCTTCATGTCTTCAACGGAGACCAACTTAGAGAAGTCAATGTCAGTGACTTTATTCAGGTGAACAATACTCTCATTGCTCATCTGGATGTCTGGGGTACAAACAAGCAAAAAAGTACAAGATCATCAAATTCACTTAATCACCACCATTATTATTGGGTTACACCAATATAATGGCTAACAGATAAAGCAAAGATTGACCATTTTAAAGAAATTAAATATGACTGGCGGAACAATATGGTAAAGACTGTTGGTGTGGTGTGGTGTTGCTGCTTATAATGTATTATAATCAAAACTTGAAGACTTAAAAAAAAGTGCAAATGCCAACTTAAATCAAATAACAACTTACCATCTAAAGAGCTAAGGCAACACTTCATGGAGTACTTGAAGTTACTTTTAATTTTTTCACCATGTCTTGATTTATCTAAGACACCCCAGTTTTGTCCTGTATCGAGAGCTGGTAACAGAAAATTGAAGGCATTTCTTGTTCCTTTCAGAAGGCCCTCTCTGGCATCGACCATTGAAAAGAAGATCTCCTACAAAGCATGAAGATAATATCATCCATCTCTTCACAAAATCCAAAAGGGAAAAAAAGGCAATTAAAATAACTGAACTGGGGTTGCTAATTTTACTGATGTGCAGTGTAAAAATGAAAGCTTTACATTTTACACACAAACAATATCCAGAAAAACACTACTTTACACAAAACAGACTGTCTTACCTCACGTATGTTTTCTGAATTCACAGGAATGTCCACTCTGGTCCGTGTGAAAGAGCAGCAAATACCTGTCAGGCATGTCTGAGACAGATTGGCTAAAAACAGCCTCAATATTTTTCCCTTTTTGGTAGTGCCAGTATATGAGCGTCCACACTCTGAAATTAAATGGTCAAATGTTTTTTTGATTAAAATCTCAAATTAATCTGGACAATTTATAAAGATTCTGTACTAAAATGTAATATTTAAGTACGGGGACAAATACAATCAACTATGCAATACAATTATGCCTACCTATTTAATATTTAAGTACGGGGACAAATACAATCAACTATGCAATACAATTATGCCTACCTATTCCTGGAACTTCTGACATTTGATACACAAAGGAAATGGCCTTACGACCTCCTTTGGCGAAGAAATCATCAAAATCATCCAGCTATTTAGCAAGAAGAAAAAATGAAATTATTTGAAACTTTTAACGAAATGGCAGAGTTAAATAGGCAATAAGGACATTTAACCAAAAACACACTTTTTATTTCGTCGTAAATAAAAACATCTACGAAATGTAAACTTCTCTTATAAGTCAAGGAGAGACACCGCTGGTATTGGTATGAACTACTTTATGTATGGTATGGTGACATACCTAGTATTATCTAAGGGAAAAAAAGTTGTCACCAATGGAATAACTCACAGGTGAACAATCTAAAATAAATTCCTCTACTGCTGTTGGCTTCAAGAACAGACCGTTGGCCAGGATGTCAATCATGTACTTGTGTGAAGGGGTGAGGAGCTTCTTTCTCTCCTCTCTAGCCTGCATGTATTTGGCCTGTAGAAAACAAAGGTTGTAAATAGAAGCAATGGTATTTCAACACTTGGAAAAAACGCTGTGCCATACTGAACTAGTACAACAAATGTGTTCACTTATATTTTGTAAGGACATGTACCTGAGATTCATGCTTGTTTGCCTTTGGATCAGGTGCATCCATCTTTGAGGGCTCAGGCAATATTACTTATTTCACTGTTGAATAACGTAGTTTTTCTGCATATTCTCTGTAATGAGTAAGAGAAACACAACACAATTGTATACCAACAAACGCTTCATTATCGTGGACATGTGAACTGTAGTTTGTTGAATAGACCTAGTAAAGTTATACAAAGTGACTTGATGAAGCCCCAAAAAAATACCGTTAATCCAAGTAAAATGTATTTTTGTGTATTTTTTTCAGTAAAATTATTTTGTATTTTCTTGTTTTACTCTATATAAATACCTGTTGTACCCCTGATGTCAATATTTTGTGTGAATATAATGTTTGATGTAGATATATATTTTCTTGAATAAAGGAAAAAAAAAGAAGAAAAAATAGGTCAACGGTCAACTAAGCTAGACCAACGTTTGTGTATCGTTGTGGGTTTAAAGGCCTACCATTGTTGAAAATATACAGTTTATGTTACTAAATTATCCTTAACTGGCTAGTTTATTAACTTTATGCTAAACTTAAAACTGTAATAAATACATTTAAAACATACAGTAAGCGTTTGCTAGCTAACATCAAGGCTACCGTTAGCAAGTCAGACAGTTTGCTGTTAGCTAACATATCGTACCTCTTGTCAACGTTGCTAACAATATTTAACATAATTGTCTACACTTACCAAAACTTAGTAATCCGATACAAATATAGCTGCGCGTTGGCTTCATTTTCTTTGAGTGCTATTTCTGTTTCTTCCGGGGAAGACTCATTGGTTGTGTCGTTGACAATGAAGTTATCATCCAAATCCAGCCGTTATCTCTTTGCGTATTCTAACGGTAACTGTTTAAAAAGATGGCACGCGCACTAGCCGTTAGTGCTAGATATGACGTGGGGAAACAAACCAGTAACGGTAATTTAAATCTGAACGTTTCTAACTAACTTTAAATTGAGTGGTGATCTTTATTCTTACTTTTAAGAGATGAAGCCAAACATTGTATTGTGCTTGTTCGTGTATTTATTTCAGATATGGCTCTAATATTTTTGTTTATATGTTATAGTCTTGTTTGAGACGCTTTAACAGCATGAACGCATACAAACACATACAAACAACGATGAACAGTCTACCAACTTTAGAGATAATTACTTCCTCCTCCAGTCATGTGGTGACCACTTTAGTTTCTACATTAATATCTGGCACCCTCTGCAGGACTGTTGTTATGATGACAACGTCGAAATGAGAACCGCTGATCCTGGATCAGGCTTTGGAGAGGACATATGTTTCGTGGTCCACTGTTATTGGTCCAGATACACCATCTTGTTATCCAATAGCAGGCAGACATCTGTTCACTGGAGCGACTCTAAAATATTCTCCTCTCTTCCTTCTCTACAGGGTTTTCAATACTCAGCAAGGACGTTGTCGGTAGTGAAAAGTTGATCAGAGGTGGGAAAATGCAAGTCTTGGGTGTAGTTGCGGTAATATTAGCAGTGTACTGTGTACATGCAAAGATCTACTTTCGGGAGGAGTTTCTCGACGGTGGTAAGTTTGGCATTTGAATCTTGAACGCTAACTGTGCATGGGGATTATTCATTGCGTGTTAGCAAAGCTGTTAGCCGTCATTTTGTCACACATCTCATCGTGTGTTTCTATTGAAAGCTTGTTCTTGTGCCGTTTAATCTGTGATTTAGTGTAAAAAACGAACCTCTCTATTTCATAACTCAAGATGGGTTGGCAGCTTGCTAACTTTAGCAAGGCCCCAAAGCTAGCAAACGTTATAACCAGAGGTGTAAAGTAACTAAGTGCATTTACTCAAGTACTGTACACTTGTATTAATACACTTAATATAATTTGAGAGACTTGAACTTTACTTGAGTATTTAAATGTTTTGCTAATTTGTACTTCTACCCTACTACAATTCAGTAGTATGCATAGTGTACTTTTACTCCACTACATTTTTTAAATACCTTTAGTTACTTTGCAGATTTGGAATCATAATGTGACATATAAACAACACTTAAAAAGGACTTTAGTTACACCTGGAGTAACATTTACAAGCTACCCTGCAGCCAACACAGTTATTAAAGGTAGCTGCAAATTAATGAATTAATAATCGTAATCAAATAATATTATATATTATTCTGAAATCGTCCAATCTGTATAATGAATACTTTTACTTCTGGTGCTTTGTGTATATTTTGATGCTAATACTTTTTTACTTTTAATTGAGTAACATTTTGAATGCAGGACTTTTACTTTTAATAAAGTATTCATATTCTGTGGTAGCTCTACTTTTACTGAAGTACAAGATCTGAGTACTTCTTCCACCTTAGATATTAACGTTACCCTTTACTAATGACACCTTAGTTACTAGCTTTGTTGCAAGCAGGAAGTAGCTTCATGTAAAAGAAAGAGGTGTCGCAAGTGTTCAAAACTTGGTAATCTTACTGGTCTTTTTCTGTGCAGATGAATGGAGAAGTCGCTGGGTAAACTCCAAACACAAAACTGACTATGGAGAGTGGAAACTAACAGCTGGCAACTTCTATGGAGATGCTGAGAAAGACAAAGGTAATACAATTTTGATATTGAAAATGTTCCAATTAACCTGATTCAACAGCTCTAATGCTTGAAGTAATCATGACATTACTGCCTTCACAGCCCAGCCTTGGAATTATCTCACACTTCTAATATAAAAAAAACACTTATCAAGTCTATGTTTTGTTACTTTAGTGTTTTCATCTTATAGTACAGTTCCAACATTGTTAGCCATAGAGAACCTATTTTGCCTTTGTCCTGTTAATTCATTATTTTTGCACTCTTTTTTTTTTCAGGTTTGCAAACAAGCCAGGATGCTCGCTTCTATGCCACCTCTGCCCGTTTTGAGCCTTTCAGCAATGAGGACAAGCCTTTAGTCATTCAGTTTACTGTGAAGCATGAGCAGAAGATTGACTGTGGTGGTGGTTATGTGAAGGTCTTCCCTTCTGACTTGGAGCAGACTGAAATGCATGGAGATTCCTCATACTACATCATGTTTGGTAAGTGATGATGTTCATGATAATAAAGAATTATAACTTAATGGTTACACTTTCAGAATTTGGAACATCTAGTAATTACATTTATTTCACACAGGCCCTGATATCTGTGGGTACAGCACCAAGAAAGTACACGTCATCTTCAATTACAAGGGCAAGAATCACCTCATCAAGAAAGAGATTAAGTGCAAGGTAAGTCTGGCTGTTAAAAATTGTTTGGGAAAATAAAATATATTTTATTCTTCTGCATCAATGGTGTAATTCAAACACTTTTTTTTCTAGGATGATGAGCTGACCCACATGTACACGTTGATCCTGAATCCAGATCAGACCTATGAGGTAAAGATTGATAATGAGAAGGTAGAATCTGGCAGCCTGGAAGAGGACTGGGACTTATTGCCTGCTAAGAAAATCAAGGATCCTGAAGCTAAGAAGCCAGAGGACTGGGATGATCGTGCCAAGGTTGACGATGCTGAAGACGCCAAGCCTGAGGTGAATAACCTTATAAATATATTTAAGTAATAAAGTTATACATAAAGCATAGCATTTACCCTTGTTTTGCTTTGCACTGATGGAAAAGTCGTTGGGAAATTTCAATTGGAAGAGTTGCGTTTTTTCAATTTGTTTCCAACCCTAGATTTTAACAGTAGTCCTGTGCTTTAAAAAAAAATTACATTTACATTCACAACTCTGTTAATTTAACTAATTTGTTTTTTTTTCTTCTTTAGGAGTGGGACAAACCTGAGAACATTCCAGACCCTGATGCTAAAAAGCCCGAAGACTGGGACGTAGATATGGATGGAGAGTGGGAGCCAGCCATGATCCCTAACCAAGAGTACAAGGTTAGCTGAAGATTTTTGTTCATAATTTACTCTGCTAAGGTATGTGCAGCCTGGTAAATATCTTCTGTTTTGCAGGGAGAATGGAAACCCAAACAGATCGACAACCCCGACTACAAAGGAGCCTGGGTGCATCCTGAGATTGACAATCCTGAATACAGTGCTGATTCAAACATCTACAAGTTTGATAAGATTTCTGTGTTAGGTCTTGATCTTTGGCAGGTGAGAGAGAAAAACATAATGCCTAGTATTAATATTGCCATAGCATTGTTAAGCCACAGTGTAACAAATGCAAATGTTTATCTCAGGTGAAATCTGGTACCATCTTTGACAACTTCTTGATCACCGACGATGTGAAGGAAGCAGAAGACATTACCAACGAGACATGGGGTGCAACAAAGGTATGCTGGTATTCTTTTAAAGACGTATATTCTCATTTGTACAACACGTGAAGTTGATGATATACTGAGAAGAACAAAGATACATTATTTTTGACTATCTAAACATTTTCCACAGGAACCAGAGAGGAAAATGAAACAGGAGCAAGATGACCTGAAACGAAAGGAAGAGGAGGAGAAGACCAAAGAACAAGAAACCGAAGGTGATGAAGAGGATGCTGAAGACGAGGAAGATGAAGACCTTGATGAGGAAGAAGACACTAAGGATGAAATGGAGGAGGCACTTTCAGAAATGGATGAAGAGGAAGCAAAGCTTAAAGATGAGCTTTGAGGAGGTGTGGCCAGAGATGGTGTCTGTCCCTCCTCTAAAGACTCTGTCCTGTATTTCCCAGGGGTATTGTGGCTGCTGTGCATCCTTTCCCTGAGAAAAGGACACAACCTAATTGGTGGGCAAATGTAGTGAAGGGGGGCAAGTGGTTGATAATTGACATAGTTTCTGTTTAGTGTTGGTCATTATATTATCATGTTGCCTCTAGCTACTGGTTTGATTTTACGGTTTTCCATCCATATCCATTCCTCATTTTGTTATTACAGAGAATATGGAGGCACTGACATCTGCCTTTTTCTTGATCTTCACATCTACCCCTGTAAAAGTTGCACAGTTAACCAAAAGCTGTGATAAAAAATGTCAAATTGAGATTTGCTGAGCATAAGAATTAGCCATTCATTGTCCCTGGGGGGAAATTCCTCTTACAACCTGGTGAAACAAACATTGCACATATCTGAACATACAACGCATAAACAAATCACAAAAATTAAGATTGTAATCTAATTTATTTCGGTTGTCTGTTGCACTGACATTTTATTTTCCTTGTCACACGTTAAGAAATAATTCAATAAAGTGTTTAAGCATAAACATTTAATCTTTTAAGTGCACGAGGAAATAGTTTTTCTGCATTGAAATGGCATTTATGTCTTCATGGTAATGTGATGGAACCTGCGTCACATGCTGAACATCTGGAGAAACAGATGCTGAGCCCCTGGTGTGACTCATGACATCACTAATGGTCCCACGGTTATTTTTATTGGACAGAATGTTATTGATACCAAAGTTTTTATTAAAAGAATATAACCTTATTGCCTGGTCATAGTTTGTCGTGCATTTTGAAAGTATGCAGTTAAACATGTTAGCAGACTTCACCTTTTCTACATTCATATGGGTTTAATGTGTATTAAAAAAGTGTATTCTCAAGATAGAAAGTTATGCATATCAATCCAAAACATTTAGGAATACAATGGAAAGGTAAATTAAAATGGGTCTCCATAGCCAGACCACAGACATCACAAAACATTACATTACATTACATGTCACTTGTTAGACGCTTTTGCGACTTACATACTCAATACTGTGGGCAATCCCCACAGGAGCAATTTGGGGTGAAGTGTCTTGCCCAGGGACACAACGACATGCTGACTGCAGTGGGGTTTGAGTTTGAACCTGTGACCCCCTGATCCGAACACCAACACACAACCCACTGCGCCACACACCAAAAACAATTAATGTTCAGTTATAATGTATATTATATGTTAAATTAAATAACTCCTCTTCCATCTTTATTGAAAATAAAGACCACACAATATTTCTGTTATCTTAAAAAGTGCCTGGTAAATGTCTTGATTAGTTTTTTCAATCAAGGCTGACACTGTTCTTCATCCAGTCAGTTAAATTATGATGTACTGTATATGTTTCCCCTCTTCTAATCGCTCTCATTGGCGTCAATAGGTTTAGTAGAGGAACAAACCCCCAAAAAAGGCTTTAGTTATCGAGATACCCCTACCCGAGGTAGAACAAAGCACAACCATGTTTTTTCATTACTTTAATATCTGTAATATATGAAACGGATTGTTGTATACAATTATTTTACTGCAAAATAAAAAAAATTGGTTGATGTATGGAACCTTCCCATAACCGAAAATAGTGAAAATGTAGGCTCCTCTGAAGGGTTATGATAAAAGTTGGATATTTCTGTTAGGGGCTGGTGACAGAAGAGGTTACCAGCCCCTAATAGTCAAATAACCAACTTTTATCATAAGATAACACTCTTTGGTACATATAAATAAGGTTTTTTGGGGATTGGTCTCCTAACTTTAATAATGACAGAAAAGTATAAACATACCTTTTGGATTTTTCCTTTCAAATTTCATTTCCGGCTAAATTGTATCAGTGTTTAATTGTATATTTTACAAAGGTGGACAAAGGTATTGGTACAAAATGTGCTTTAGTGTATGCTTTGCCTCACCCTGAACATATAAACCAACGTTGGTGACATTCTGATCCTTATTTACAGATATACACGTGATAAGGTTGACATGGCCCCCTTCAGAGGAGCCTACATTTTCACTATTTTCGGTTATGGGAAGGTTCCATACATCAACCAACATTTTTTATTTTGCAGTAAAATATTTGTATACAACAATCCGTTTCATACATTACAGATAATGAAAAAACATGGTTGTGCTTTGTTCTACCTCGGGTAGGGGTATCTCGATAACTAAAGCCTTTTTGGGGGGTTTGTTCCTCTACTAGTTGTAGGTTCATTTCATTTCATTTCAAACCTTTATTTAACCAGATTGTCCCTTGAGATCATAGATCTCTTTTTCAAGGGAGACCTGCAGCAATTAGGTTCCACATGAAACATAAAACAACATAAAAGCTATTAGCAAGGCCAGTTCCTAAGGTGTGGTGCCCTAGACTTTAAAGTGTGGTTCCCACGTTTTGTTGCTGAGACCCCGGTTCACCCACCGGAACCAGGCCCCTCCGATCCGTCGCCGCTCGTGCCTGCTCGGTTAAGGGGCGTTTGCGCACTCCCGCGACACCAGGAAATATGGCGGCGCTCATGACTCTCAGTCAGGTAACAACTCTAAATATCTAAAGAAAACTGTCAAATGTCATTAATGATCCAAATTAAGTGGCAGTGACAGTCGGGTTATGACTTTAGCACGTTACCACTGTACACGCTGCTTTGAATACCGGCCATTTGAACCGTATTATCAACATTTCGTTGTCAACTAAGTTAACATGGTTAGCTAGGGTGAGTAAGGATAGCCAATTTCCTATACGTTTCAACGGAATTGGGAAGCTAAGCTTACCATTGCAAGGACAGTTAGTTAGCAGCAAGGTTAGTTATGTGACTAGTGACAATAAAAGCATGGGTAACTAGCTAGAAAGTTAGCCTAAACTGAACAAAAACAAACCTTTACTTAGTTAGCAAATGTTAGCGACCAAAGCTGTGTATCTACGTTTACCGAACACACCTAATGATGTCGCTTCAGTCTACTGACTTTATAGCTATGTTTACCTTTCTTACAAATTCATTCTGTATATGTGCTAGGCTAGCTGACACTCTTATTGTAACTTACCGGTGTTGTATTTCTTATTTCTCATCTGATCTGCTTCTCCAGCTAACAAATGGAAGCCCAGCGTATGAGGGCTATTACAAACAGGTAAGGTTACTGCTGTGACTTCAGTACAGCTCTTCTAGTTTGTATACATTTAAATGTTATGTCATTTTTAAATCAATTGAAAAACACTGTCATATCTGCTGCTTTTTAGCTGGATCCAGGAAACACAGGCAGAGTATCGGCTGGAGATGCAGCTCAGTTCCTTAAGAAGTCAGGGCTGTCAGACAGTACATTGGGGAAGGTAGGTCACAACCTTGCATATATGCACTAAAACAGACTGTTCAATTTGATCTATGGCAATTAAAATGTTTTGTCTTGTACTTTTTTAGATTTGGGATTTGGCAGATTCAGAAAGAAAAGGCTATTTGGATAGACGGGTAACACTCAATTCCTCTGTGAAAAAGCTGTGATTGGTGATGCTGATGTGTGCATAAAACACCAGACTTGACTGGCCTTCTTCCTCTTTCGTAGGGTTTCTTTGTTGCTCTGAGACTTGTGGCCTCTGCACAGGGTGGAAATGATATCAGCCTTAACAACCTCAATCAACACTTAGCTGCCCCCAAATTTGTAAGTGATGAAATGACTTATATTAACTGCAATATCTAACACAAAAGGTGAAAAACTAATGTCTGGATCCACTTTGTGATTTTGTTTAATGAATTGGGGTTTCCTTAGCCCATGCTATACCCTGTTATCAAATTTCATGAAAATAGGGCCAGCTGTTTTTAAGTTTTTCCTTGGCTGAGGTAATGATGTGGTAAAGAACACACACGGTAGAGAAGAGCTTTTGCTATTGAAAAATGAATGGACAATGAATGTCTCAGGAAGGGACATAGGGAGATCACATCCCTTACTCTCTGTTTTTGCTGGATCCGCTTATCTTACTCTCCCTTCTATTTTTTACAGAAAGATACTAACAGCCCATTATTGACAATTTCAACAACTGGACCTGAATCACAATGGGCAATAAGGGTGAGTAAATAATATTTGTAAAAAAAATATCTGGAGAAAATCAAGCATGTCATCTAAACTTGAGTTCCTTTTTTTCCTAGCCTGATGAAAAAGGGAAGTTTGAAGGCATTTTTGAGAGTCTGTGCCCTCTGAATGGTCTACTCCCCGGCGATAAAGTCAGGCCAGTTTTGATCAACTCCAAGCTACCTCTGGATGCGTTAGGAAAGGTGATGTTACACGTTGGAGTGATGTGACACATAAGACTGCTGCAGTCTGAAGCTGGCTCATTTTGGTATTAACTTAATGTTTCTGCAGATCTGGGACCTAAGTGATGTGGACAAAGATGGACAGTTGGACAAAGATGAATTCACAGTGGTAAGCTGGTGCCTTTTGTTTACTTTGAGTTTTTCGGTCACCCCGGAGACATTCCAGGAAGCTATTGCTTGTATTAAGTGTTTTTAATTCAAGTGTCTTTTTTTACTATATTTATAAATGTCCTTTTCCCCCCCATTTTCCAGGCTATGCATCTTGTGTATCGTGCCATGGAGAATGAGCCTGTCCCAGCCACCTTACCCACATCCCTCATCCCCCCTTCTAAAAGGAAAAAGTCTGCCAGTGCGATGCCAGGTGCCGTGGCCGTGCTGCCTGCTCTGTCCGGCTTCATGGCTGGCGCCACTCCTCTCAAAGATTCCCAGCGAAGCACTCCTCCTCTGGGCCGAGCCAGCCCCCTCATCACCAGTGACCTCAACCTCTCTCCAAAACACTCCTTTAAATCCAGCTCACAGGTATGTAGACTCCCTTGCAAAACTCGGAAATTGTTGATGTAGGCGTATTGACCCCATCACTGCATTGATTTGTCAGCTTTATTCTGTGCGAAGGCTGTGCAATTTGGTTTAAAATCAAATATTACAACATTATTCGGAATAAATAAATAAATCCCCATATATTAACTGAAAAATCACATTTAAACTAATCAAATATTGTTCAGTGCAATTATTTACTGAATATTTAAGATCTATTCTTCTATTACATCCAAACACAATTAATGATTGTCAAATAAAAAACATGTTTTAACTATTTACAATAATTGATTACAAATTATGTATTTAGACTACATGATTTGTGAATAACATGATGTGATATAATGTTCACATATAAGTCTACTGAAAGTTGAGAAATGTTAATGTAGAGTTAGTTCTTAGCCCTCATTTCTCCATCATAAAATACTTAAATTTAGTAGAAAAGCGGCATCAGTTATTTTATAGCTGTTTCTGTACATCTTGAGTGAGGCAGTAAGACTCCTAGGGTGTTGTGTCTGAGTAGTTTGGGTAGTGTCACTCAGCTGTTTCACTGATTTTACTGCATGACTCATCTGTTGTTCTAAATGCAATGTCATGTATGTCCGGGTTATCTTGGGATGTATTAGAACTTTTATTTTTCAATGTTGCTAGTTATATTCAAGTAGTATAAAGTGAAAAACACAAAACAAATCATTCAAATATTCTTGGAAACTTCAATATATTTAGTTTTATATTTATCATTTCATTGCTCCTCCCTAATGAAGTATCACAAGGGCAGAGCCTTGGAACCAGCATTACATGTGTTGATTGTTTTCTGTTGCTAATGACTACTACTTGTTTCTCCACATTGCTTTGAGCATTGTGCCCTGGCCAGTGTGTTCCTCTCTAACTTGTTATAGCTGCAGGGATATTTCACCCATGACC